CATAGCTATAGATCTAACTAGTGTGCTGAGACACCGTGCAGTTACAACATGACAATAATTCAAAGAAAATAATTTTGCGCTTGTCATGATATTGAAAACATGTTATAGTGTAGCAAACGGGATACAAACTTCTTAGGATGTCATAAGAATAACCATTGCGTACTAAGTATAACCAGCTGTATAACAACAACATAGCCTGAGTATCAGGCCTTCCTAAGGGGCTAGGGAAAAAAAACCCGGGTTAGGGTTAGGGCTAGGGTTAGGGTTAGGGTTAAGCTAATATGTTGGAAATTAAGCCCCGTTGGTGGATTCCCTTTGGATTCCCTCGCAAAAAGTGGATTCTCTTTATTGATATGTATAAGTGTCTTCCTGCATACTACTTTTTTGACTTCCTGCATACTAACGAAGTGGATAGGGTTACTAATGAGCGTCACTCTAGTACAACAGAAACAATAGGCCGGCCCAAACGCCTGATATTCCATCTTTCCCCTTTTCCCCCAGAAACGCCTGATACTCAGGCTAACAACAACAACAAACTGACAGCAATGCCCTTGAGAAAGAAAACAACGGGAGCAAGAGACTGTCTCCCACACCGAGTGTGAGTAATTTGAGTCTCAGGTCGGGACGCTCTCTTTCAACGGTAACGCGGAGTTCAGACCGAGGTTCTGTCGATGGCTTTGTAGAGATTAGCGACCTTTAATTCGCTGTCGGTGCAAATGCGTTTTGAAGAAAGATCACGAATAGAAAGCAGAACTATCGTGTGTTACCTAGGTGGAATTGGAGGCGATTGGAGCCGTTGGAGCGAATTTACGGCCGTTTTCTTTCAGTGGGTCCGTCGGGCCGCTTCGCTGGAGTCTCCAGCCTTGGTAAACCATTATATGTAGAGAAAACCGTTTACCTAAAAACCCATAAAACGGCCATAAATCGGCCTGTGAACTACACAGGGGAGACGTAGCAGGGACACCCAACGAGAATATAGTTCAAAACCACTTAAATATAGCATTGTTACACGAATTTTAGTATTTGAACGGTAGATTTAGGCATATTTTTATCCCCTAAAAATTTTTCATCTGTTCGGATTTCCTAGCTGAAAGTCTAGTGATCCGAAAATTATAGGGAACAAAACTTACCTTTTCGAAAATTTCAGCCGGAAAAAAGGCTCCCGAAAATTCTAGGTGAGCTTTTTAGGGTAAAAATCCGTTAAAAATGGTAAATTATACCATTTTTTAGGTCTTCGAAAATCCTAGGAGAGGTAGGCAAGCAAGAAATTTTACAAAAAATGTTCCGAAAATTCTAGATCTCAAATCGTCTTCCGAACAGATATTTTCCGAAAATTGACGTTGGGTGCCCCTGACGTAGAACACATTTTAAGAAAGGTAAGCTGTTTTTTATCGAAATATTTTCATTTTCGTAGGTTACAGAAACGATAGGTTTTTTTCCCATACAAATCCTTATAAAAGTAGGTTGTGTTTGATCCAACGTCGTCCCCAGGGCTTTTCCCTTAAAAAATGGGTGGGGCGGGAAAAGCCCTGGGGACGAGGTTGTGTTTGATCGTCCGGGTGAACGTAGTCCTGAATAGGACTGTTGTTGTTAACAGTGACTGACGTTTCGACAACCTGTGTCGTAGTCATCTTCAGAGTCTAAGTGAGTTGAATCACGTCAGTTGATGGTATTTAGACCGCAAAACAGTCGGTTTTTTTCTCAAAATCAGTAAAGAAATTGGTAAAGCGTGGCGTAAGAGTCTTACGCAAGCGAAGCGCGCGAGCGAGAGAAAAAAAACCCAGTCTGGCTCAACACCGCGGCAAAACGTCTACGCATGCGCCAGGTTGAGCATTTCCGGTCTCTTTTTCAGTCACACTTTCCAGTCAGATCAAAGTCTCCAGCGCGCTCTCGGCTTCATTCTGTGTGCAGCTTGTGGTTCAATTGTTCTGCTTTAATTATTGCTGCTCGTGTTTTTGACTATTTTGTACTTATTGAAATTGCTTTTATGGATAACCAGGCACAGATCACTGAAACAATTAGTCGATTAGATTCAGAAAAGGTAAGATGATAATAACTCAGTGTGTAATTTTGGCTAGAGCGTCAGGTAAACTGATTTTCATTCACGAAAATAAAGTTTTTGACTGTTATTTTTCACTTAACCTGGCTGAAACTAAGACATAAAATTAAAACGTTATCATTGCAAGCTTGTGTATTGTAGTTCTAATTTTCAGTTCTTCAGTTTCTCAGTCTACATGTGTTAAAGCCGATTCAAACTTTATTTGGAAAACGACAACACACAATCGCTTTGTAGTTTTGTTTACCAGTGGGTTTTACCGTGTTTTAAAACGAAACTCTTCTGGGTTGATTGCCATGAAACATTAGCTTAATTATACTGTTGAGCCGGTTGGCAGCAAGTTGACAACTCTATTTATTTATTTTTTCATTCTCAGAATCAGAGAGCGAAAGCTGGTTCAGTGGCTTTTAGAAGTCGAACTTTTCATGCCATGTATTTAGCAGCTAGAAGTTTCGTGTTTGCATGAGATGCAGCCGAGCCGCACGGTCTGAAATTATTGAAGTCTTCAACAAAAGAACAACCATGTAAAAGAATTAAATAGGCATTTTGTTCAAGGAAAGTCATTTATAGGCATGTTTAGTTTCCCGGTGACTGCAGTCATCAAAGTCAAAGTTGTTATTAAATCCCGCCCATCTTTTGTTTTGAGTTCTTGTTTTCTCTGATAATAAAACAAATTATTGAACGGACTAAAATTTTATTTCCTGGTTTTAGTGTTTTTATGATAATGATGACGTCTTTATTTTGGTTTCTTTCATAAGTATTGTTATTCTTTTCTTAGTTGTCGCCTTCTCCCAAATTAACTTATGCCAAACCAGTAGCATGCAAGAAAGCCAGTGAAAACAAATTCGTCTTGTCGAGCGCTCGCGACCTGCAAACTTCAAACATCATTTTCACCGTTGGTGCAAACAGATAAGCATGTGGTGCAAAAGTTTGAGAATAGAAAAATATATAAGCTTTCGAATGAAGTGATTTTTTTGGCCCCCTTTTTTGTCTGTTGCGCCCTTTTTGCTTTTAAACTTGGCGCGACGGCAAAGTTATGCTTACGCTATTGGCTTATATACTAGACCGGAAATAAAAAGCTGACCGGATATTAAATTTTGTGCTCATGCGCAGTGCGTTTTGCCGCGGTGTTGTCTGGCTCTCTGTTCTCAGTCTCGTTCCAAACCTTTTGTTTGACTGCTCGCGCGAACTTCAATACGCAAAAATACGAACTGTTTGGCAGTCTAGATGGTATTATACTCTGGTTGTTGATCTGATTGGTCAATTACGTCGCGATATTATTGGTCGTCTGTCGGTTACGCACTGATGTTATTGGCTATGAGGACTCGTAATCAGTAATTGGTGCGTTTCGATCCTTCTATTATCACAGTTAAACAGTCGTCTATTCAGTAGTCAAATTGTCAGTTCTCCAGTCGCTCTCTCCTAGTTAGTTTTGCTTGATCTCGTCAATAGAGAGCTTTAGATTCTAAGACGAGGACGACTACGAGTACGAGATTTTCTCAATAGTAAGTAGTGCTCGCGCGTGAGCAAGCGTCATTTTGGCGGGAAAACGTGGTAGCCGTCGTCATTCCACTACGACTTTTAGCGAGAGTGTCGTAGTGGCTAGAACAAGTTATCAAATGTTAGAAGTTTTAGCATTTTGCAATCGGGAGAGGTCTTAACTTCCTTCAATAACGATAACTGTTCTAACTTATCCGGTGAAAAAAAGAAACAATGAAGAATTCGGGGTGTATATTTTTTGACAATAGGCGAAAAAACTTTAAATGAAATCTCGTACTCGTAGTCGTTCTCGTCCTCGAATCTAAAGCTCTCTAATAAGTCGTTTGTACGGCGCTGGTAACTGTTGGCTACGATTCAGTGGCATTTGTTCTAAGTTAGTAAACCCTCTTTCTAAAGTAAGACGTTGAATAGTAGTCTGTAGAATACGTTATACATGTCGCAGAGTCCCAGTCAATTTGATGTTTCGTCTGTAAATGGAGCTCAGCAATGTGATTGTTGACCTCACCATTCCTCGTCTCTCGTTTGTGTTCGGTCAGTCGCGTGCTTAGGTTTCTGCCGGTTTCACCAATGTAGGAAGCCTGGCAGTCGCAGCACTTGATCTTGTATACTGCTCCCTGTCTGTCCTCCGGTTTGTCTTTGTCCTTGACATTAGTAAGCAGTCGTCGGTTTCAGAGGTGTCTCTGATTTACGGTATAGTCGCTGTCGTAACAGGACTAACAGGGCCAGAGTTGACGTTGGTCTGAGTGAGAATCAATGTTACTGTGCGTGTTCGTCTAACAAAGTCCGTGCTGTAATTGTTCTTACTTAAAACAATGTTAAGATAATCAGTCTCGTCTTGTAGGCTGTCAGGTGAGTCGCAAACTAGTTGCGCTCGTTTCGTCAAAGTCTGGATAGTAGTAGCCTTGTGAGAGGTCGGGTTGTACGAAGACTGGTCTAGTAATGAGTCGGTATGTGTCAGTTTTCTGTAAATAGTCGTTTGTAGTTTGTTGTTGTCGCGAGTGACCAAGCAGTCTAGAAAAGGTATCTTACCATTTTCTTCGATCTCCTTGGTAAACTGAATGTCCGCGTTCTGTCTGTTAAAGCTTGTTAAGGTGTTCGTGAAAATCGTCGACTCTGTCTTTGTGTACGGCGGTGAATGTGTCGTCAACGTAACGTAACCAAAGAGGTACAGTTCGCATGTAGGTAGCTAGGGCTTGTTCCTCGATGTTTTGCATGACAATTTCTGCTACAACAACAGAAACTGGAGAGCCCATAGCTGTACCGTGTAACTGTTTGTAGTGTTTGCAGTTGTACTGAGAGTACGTCGAAGTCAAACAGAGGTTGAGTAGGTCCATAATGTCGTCTGTAGGAAGTGGTAGTTCAACAGTAGAGTTCTTCAGTAATAGCGTTCTCAGTACAGTCTAGAGCCAGTTGAAGTGGAATACTGGTGAACAGTGATTTCACGTCAAAGGACACTAGTTTGTGGTCGTCCCGGTATCTGTATTGTCTTAATGGCGTCAAAAAAATTCTTAGTAGACTGTAGTTTATGTCTAGATTCGTCAGTCAGAGGTTTCAGTACGTTAGTTAAGTATTTAGACAGTTGATAGGTCCGGGACCCACAGAAAGAAACTTTGGGCCGCATAGGTATGTTGGGTTTGTGTAGTTTTGGTAGTCCACACAGCTTGGGTGGCGTTGGCGTTCTCGCGAGACTCGCTTCGCTTGCCCAAATAGGAGAGCTTTCTCGGAGGCTAAGGTGGCTGCGGAAAACTACACTTCAGTCTGTTGTAGCGTCGAAAGTCGATCTTGTCGGTTTTCTTCAGTGTGAGCAATTTGTTGCTAAGTTTGCGTTGCAGTGCGGGTGTCGGGTCTTTTTTAAGTACTTCGTAGGTCTGTTTGTCGTTAACAAGCGAGTCCATTTTGTCGTTGCAGGCTGTCTATGCGGCCCATAGTTTCATTCTGTGGGTTAAAAACGAGCGACGAGGAATGGTGACGTAAACAATCACATTGCTGAGCTCCATTTACAGACGAAACATCAAATTGACTGGGACATGTATAACGTATTCTACAGACTACTATTCAACGTCTTACTTTAGAAAGCTGGTTTACTAACTTAAAACAAATGCCACTGAATCGTAGTCAACAGTTACCAGCGCCGTACAAACGACTTATTGGCGAGATCAAGCAAAATTAACTACGAGAGAACGACTGGAGAACTGACAATTTGACTAACAATAGACGACTGTTTAACTGTGACAATAGAGTGTTTTCACATGACGTCACGGCGGCCATATTGGTGTCCCAAAACAATGAAACGGCGGCCATGTTAGTGTCCCAAACTAATCCTCTGGGAGTTCAACTCTTTTCTAATGCAAACGCTTTCTGTTGTTCCAATAAATTTGCATAGATACTGGCCACGTGAGTGAAAACACTCTATAGACGGATCTAAACGCACTAATTACTGATTACGAGTCTTCATAGCCAATAACATCACGGCTTAACTGACAGACGACCAATAACATTGCGACGTAATTGACCAATCAGATCAACAACCAGAGTATATAAATACCATCAACTGACGTGATACAACTCACTTGGACTCTGAATAGGAGTACGTACTGCACAGGTTGTGGAAACGTCAGTCATTGTCAACAACAACAGTCCTATTCAGGACTACGTTCACCCAAACGATCAGACACAACCTACTTTTAAAATGAATCCTGGGTTCAAACCTTTTACACAAATCCTTATATTTCGAATATTACGCAACAATGCCGATGTGTGCCGATGTTCATAGATAGATAAATAAGAACTTTATTTTAGCACGAGAAGAAGATCAGCATTGCTGGGGGGTCGTGCATACAATAAATGCAAGAAAATAAGGAGTACTGAAAGCAAATGTACAATTAAAGATCAAAACCTATTTAAAATGTTTGTAACCGATTTTTAAGTTTTTAGTTGTAGCTAAAATAGGTTGTGCAAATGAACAATTAAAAATCAAAACTGTTAAAAGTATTCGTAACCGATATTTCTATTTTTAGTTGTACCTAAAATAGGTTCGAAATTCATTTTATCAGCATCAAATTTTGCAAGACAGCGTTTAAATTCTTTCAAGGTTTTAGCCCTTGTTTCCTTGTTACCCCGTCTTCCTTTCAGGAAGAAGACGGGTTTTAAAATGGCCTGGGTTTTTCCTTCGTCGTCGAATCGCCCTCTGCTCTTTAATGCGCATGCCTGTACTGGCGAAATATCATGTGATCGATTTCGGGAAAATTCATTGGCTTAGAGGCAAAATCCCCTTGACATGTTGTCGACAACAAAAGGTAGGTTTTCCCAGTCGGTAACGTTAAAGTTGTGTTTTGTTGCCTCTATGAGAGATCGACAATTATTTTGGTCGAAATGTTTAGTGATATGTGTTGTCTAGAAGATAATCCATCCTAGAACTGTTAGACAAACACAATGGCTCGATCCGTTTAATCGAGATCGGCGTTGCGATCGCTAGTTTCGAGAAGAAGACATTCTAAAAAGGTGGGTAAACAGTTCACTTTTTATGTTTAGTGCAAGTCTCGAGAATTTATATAGCAGTTGAAGAAACACTATTGGGCTTTGTTCTGGCGAGTAAGCGTGTACCGAGGTGTGAGGAAGAAGCAGTTTCGTAAAACGTATGAACCGTTTTTGTCCAAAAATTGTACAACTTGACTGTTCGATCTGTATGTTAAACACGTCCACACGCGTCACTGTAAACACCTTAGAAATTTTATGCTTTATAGTTTTTATCGAAAAACAGCAAGACACATTAGAAAATTAAAAAGTAGGGGAAATTGCTTTGATTTAGTAAGCATAGTTTGCACCTAGTTCAGGGCTGCAGGAAAGTGTCAGTTAATTACCATTTCAGTGCATTAATTTCCATTGATCAAAACAAACCGAAGTTTGTGCTTGGTCCAAGTCTCGTGCTTCCCGGCTGTCTCGGTATATAAAAAAACAGAAACTTACTACATCGAGGAAAAGAAATATTCTTTGACTTTTTTTGGCATATGGATTAAAGGAGCTATGCCACCCGTGGCGCATGCGCTAGCCAGTGAAAACAAACTTAAAGACGGCCCGTCTTTTTCAAGTTCTGTCGGAGATTTCGGAAGGCTGTTTTTAGCTGTTGAAATCTCAGCCATCGTTCGATAGTTAGCGAAGTTTTGAACTAAGAATCGTTCTATGGTGATTACAGAAGAATATTTTTGCATTATTTTGAAATTGTTCGTCCTTGGATTTTTTTTACGTGGGTTTACATTGTCCTCTTACGATTGTCTTACCAGAGGCCGTTGAATTAGCAGAGAATTAACGACGGCTACTCCACGATGAGTGATGGAATCTTAAGTGGAATCTTCCTTATAGTTCACAGAAACTTTCTGTTGAGTCATTTTAGAGGCTGCTGGCTCTTGAATTTTTTTTTTGCGTGTGTGTGTTCAAAGTCTGTTGTCATGAAGCGGCTATCGAGGCGCTTCCAGGCGGATGTTTTTATTAAACGATTACTACAGCGTGGCCATGAGTTTTGAGACGAAACTAATCTTCTGGCGAAGGAAATGTTATACAATTCGGCTAGATTCCTTCTTGTATTTATCTTCATTCACGACAACGATAAAAAACGACCGTTTACCCGTCCAGCTTGTTCTCAACGGACTTAGATAGCAACGGACCAGTACGAGTTAGATTCTGTGGTGGTCATGTTTAAGAACTGCTTGTGTTTGAGCATATTTTGGAAAATAGCAGAGTTTATTTTCCCTTGTTATTCACCGACTGCTTACAATGAAGCAGAATACGAATGATACTTGGTTCTGTTTTTCTCGACGTCGCAGTGATTCGGCACGATCGAACAAATTCGCGCAATCAATGTGTTTTGCTTCAACACGGAGGCATCAATAAACGGCGTCTCTTGTCCTGTCAGCATGCGATCTAAATTACAAAGATCAGTAGCGAAAGACAAGCCTTATTGTTAGTAAATTGAAACAGTCCTGGTCTTTACCTTTGGTCTAAAGTTTTGTAGGTCGTTTCTTAAATAAGACTGATTTATTTTGCTGACTACGACAATATGTTGGTGAATTTTTGTTTGCGCTATATTTTTATGAATGGCACGCGTTTTTACCTCAAAACTACAAGTAAAATTGTCTTACCACTTTTATTCTCGACGAAGAATTTGAGTGAACTCTTTCTAGCATAAACAGAAAGGAAACGTTCCGTAAATTCTATCAAAAGATCAGTTATCCAAACTTGTAAACGTCTCATTAAACATTTCGGAGCTTTGGACGTGACAGGGGGCGCTTTCCACTTAGGAAAAAAAAACCGGAAATTTCGGTGGAAACAAAAGTGGAATTTCCGATTGGTAAAAAGTTGTTCCATTTGGTCGTAAACACCGGTACGTCACGATGCCCGACCGTGGACCTGGAACTGGTACAAACTACGAGAAAGGTAAATGGAACACGACATTCCGTTCGGAAATTCCAACCGGGAAAACGGGCCCACCTTCTTAGATTTTCCACTTTTTAAGGGAATTTTCCAGTGGGACGAGCCGAAGAAACGTGTTCCATTTACCGCCGAACCAGAAATTCCGGAAATTTTGACTAAATGGAAAGCGTCCAGGATAACCTGAGATCAGGCTCTATTTTCGTTTCGCTTTGAAAATTACATTCCGGCGGGCAAGACGAAACGAAAAGAGAGCCTGATACAAACCTTTAACGAACTGTCTGCCGCCCACTTTTTTGATTGATTGACATTTGCCGAATCAGCCAATCAGAATGACTTCCGTTGCTTGTTTTTCTAGTATGCAAATCTTTCACGCGTGGGTAAAATGCAGACTGGCTGACTTAAAAAATAGCTTTTCTTTGTTGATTTCTTCAGCTTAAAATAAAACAGTCAGCACAATCACATTTAACTTCTTGCAAGATTAGGGGAGATCTCGAAGTTTACTTCTGTTGGCGTAGAAGGTAAAAAGTTTTCGAAAAGACGGCGAAACGATGTTCTACTAGTTTTATTATTTTGGCTAGGCACTCTGGAATTTAAGATACTGAAATCTCTATTTTTCCATTGTCTTGATATTTTCCTCGGCAATTTCCCCCGATTTTCAGTACATAAATCTTTAAAAACAAAAGCGAACAGCCAACGAGCGAGGACACCAGTTTTCTTGGTTTATTTTGAACAAAAAGCGTAGTCAAACAACCAGTCTGTGAACACTGAAAATTCCTTGAACAGCGATGCGATATTTTTCGTCTAATATACTTCACAGTTGGCGATTGAGGTTTCTTTCGCAGTGAGCCTCCGGGTACCCCGTTCAGAGAAGTCATTCCCGGCTAAACTTTCAAATGAAACCAGTTTTTAAGATTGACAGTATTTTGATTTGCACCCGTTTGTTGGTAAATCGAAGAGCACCTAGGTAGCGGTCAACAACTTGCAGAGGGATTCAACTCCGCGATACACTCACTTTCCGTAAATAAAGCAAATCCTGAGAAGATATGAACAACCACATGAATTTTCTGAATTTCCATGGCACATATTAAGGCATATTTTCCTACCATAAGACCATAAAATAATAAAAAAGACAGCAAAATCGATCCTTCTCTCCACCGACGACGGATCATTCACGAAAACAACCACGCGAGGAATAAGCGCTTTCAACTTCCGGCGTTTCCGACAGCCAATCAGATCTTGTGGCATTGTTCTAATAGCCAATCAGCGTTACGGCCAAAATCTGGCCGTAACGAGCACAAACTTGTAATAGTTTGTATCAGGCCCAATTTCAGCGGTAGCCGTTAGAGAGAATGTATGAGAACCGCTCAAATTGGGCCTGATCTCAGGTTACGCCCAGGAAGTCACGCATTAAAAACAATAGAATTTTGACAGTTAAATGTAATTTGCATAACCTCAACGCGCATGCTCTCCAGCTGACAAAGTCCCTTTAACTTGTATCGAGCTCGCACGGAAGTGGCAAGTTTTTAAAGCACGTAGAGTTGTTAAATGCTGAAATTCGACATGATATTGATCGATCAAAGAACATCTCATTTTTAAATTAAATCAAAGATTACATGTAAACTTACAGCTTTTTAAAAAATTGGCGATTGCTTACTATCGAATTTCGATCTTGCAAAACTCCATATTGATCGATCCAACATTTATATTAGAAATTCAAAATTATTTATGCCAGAAATCTTTCCGTCTTTGCTGTGTTCAGCTACTGTACATTCAAACTTACAATTAAAATGATCGACAAATCGATTTTAATGTTCTATATTTAAATTGGTCTCGGGATTGTCCTCAACGAGGTACACAAGGGTATAGGTTTGGGTTTTCTGTGGTTACTTCTTTGCTTTTTGTTGAATCAATGCCAAGGCAATGAAATATTGACATCCTTTATTTATTTACTTTTTTTTCAGAGAAGATGAACTTGATCAACAAATCAAACGCTAAGTGTAGCAACACTTTTCGAAGTTTTCTGATGATGAATTAGCTAAACGAGCATGCCAATAATTTGTCTTTGTCAAGTACCTGTATCAGAGTGACAATAATATGAATAAAGATCTTACTCATGGGAAGATCTGGGTTTTTTTACTTCTTTGTAGCAACTTAGCATGTTCAATAATCACTTCAGCAACCAAAACAAATTTAAAATCCTAGCATAATTATTCCAACCACTATGTTCTCTTCCTCTTCATAGAGGGCGTTATTTCAAAGGTTTTTCCCTAAAAATATTAGTTTACTACTTCAGATTGTGACTGAAGCTCATACTAATTTAAAGAAAAAGAAAACTAGCTGCAACACTACTTTGAAGCAAAACATTGTTATGCAGTCATGGTCAAGTACACCCCTTTGGAACGTTCGAGTCTTTCCAGTCTGATTTGCTAGCCGTTAGTATTTTTTTCCATTTATTCATCATCAAAGTTCATGTGGGCTGTAGTGCATTGCTGCATAGTGCACATTTTCCCCCAGCGCTCGATCATTGTACGAACTAAAAGAAGGCCGGGTTCACGCACTCGCGCGTCTTGTTCGTTTCATGCGATTGCTCCTCTAAAGCGTGTGGAATTTCTGATAAAATTCGTTTCTGGTCTTGGAAGAATGATGTTCTCATTTCTTCCGGGGCCTGAATTCCTCTGTATAAACAAATCTTTAAATTCCGTGACGGTGTAACATTTTAAACACTTGAAGACAAACTCCCTTAATGCGCTTTAACGAGCTTCGCCACTGTCAACATGAAAGCGAAACTGCTGGCGTATAATAAAATTAAACTTGATGCAAGGCAATACGGATAAAACAGAAACAAGTAACAAAATATGAAGACTCCTACCCGTTGGCAAGAAGATCAGGAACATGAAAACAACTACATGCTGCATATTCGTCATGTTGGATGTCTTGTTCCGGGTGCTAATTAACTCGATCGATGCAGATATAGGAGTGCGCTTGCTTGCTCTTTGAAGCTCTAACCAAATGACAAAACTACAAATACTGAACACACCTTTAATGCTGAATTAACATTTGAATAGAAATAAGTAACTGTCAATTTTATTAATCAAGACAATAGCGCTGACGTCACAAATTTCTGGTCCCTGCTGTGCCTCAGACATTAAACCTGACCAGTGTAAGAGTTTAGTATGGGAAAGACACGTTAGGCAAGAAATTTCCGTCGTCTTTGAAGATGTTTATCGTTAAAGGAAACAAAATCCAGCTTGGTTTTAATAAATATCCTGAAAATAATCAACGCGTGCCAAGACAGTGTTAAACATGGAAAAAACTCTACAGGTGAGTGGTTTTATTTCCTATGCGGCGTCATAACTGCTGTGGGTAAAATTATGTTAAAATATGTGGAGAGCAGGGCTTCATAGCTGTGCATGAAACGGTGCATTTGGTTAAATTTATAGGCAAAGGTTGCTCTTTTTTTTTTTCGAGTGCTTATGTTACGCTACTTAGTACTACAGGATATAAAGTGCTAAAGTATTCGTCCCGGATTCATATGGTCTACCTAGCCGCACAACAACAGAACAAACTTATACAATTTCCGGTTTGTGCTAATGTTGGTAGCTAATGTTGGTGGACTTGGTGTGCTTTTTATCTCAGACATTCTGTCACAGGCTTGCGAGAAGCACATCCAAACTCGATTTTCTCTTTAGCAATTTCGGTTTTGGAATATTACACAGCCAATAATGTAATGTCATGTTTCAGTGCATAGCGGTGCTTTCTGCCTAAGACACAGAGCTAGGGATCGGATTTCAGTAGCCTTCTTTGATCGAGTCGCTTTATTTTCTGATTTTAACCATTTATTTGAGTTACTGGACCAGGTTTTGCTCCCAATAGCAGTAGGTGCCTTTTATATATTGGAATTATACTCAAAAAACATTTTAAAAACGCTCACTGCGAATTTTATAAACAATTTTCATGTAGGAAACGTATGTTTCCGATACAAAGCCTTGGAGTAGAATGTAAAGTTTGTCTGAGTCACGCGGGGAATCTAAGGTGACAAAAACCTATTTTTAGTAATAGTAGAAAGCGCTATTCTTGTCAAAATTGATCTTGGATGTCATTGGCTAATACGCGAGCCAACACCCACTGCCAACAGTTGTGACGCTTTCTTTGGCTCCTAATTTGCTGAAGTCCACCTATTTTACATGTCATTATGCATACAAGTTAATTTGGCTACAATGTATTCCTATACATAGTGTTTCTATGAAAGGAGAAATTTTTCACTGATCTCAGTTTCTCTGATCAGATCTGATAAATCTGTCGCTCACTAAGACGTCAAAAAATGACATTTACTGCACTGATGCCCGGATATGCATTTATTTTAATATGCAAACATTAGCACATCCTCGGAGACCCAGGGGCAGATAGTGGGGTCGAGGGAAAGTCTAAACGGGCGGAAAAATATGGCACAAAGAAAAGTAAAGAACGGCGAGAAGAGCCCCTGGGGACAATGTCTTACCAGACCAGTTCCAAACGGTCGCCGCCATTCTGCCTTCTGATTGGGCAGAAAAACACAAACGTTTTCTGGCACCAATCAGAAGTTAGAACGGCGGCGACCGTTTGGAACTGGTCTGGTAAGACATTTTCCCCAGGGGCTCTTATCGCCGTTCTTTACTTTTCTTCGTGCCATATTTTTCCGTCCGTTTAGACTTTCCCTCGCCCCCCACTATCTGCCCCTGGGTCTCTGAGGATGACATTAGCAAACCTGACTGACTGGTGCTGGTTCACATGGTATTGGAAACATTCCGCATTCTTTTGTTCAGTGACCATCTCGAGGAGGGCATAATGGTTTTGTTAATCCCGCTCCCCGCTGCAATTATCCAACAAAGCAGTAACAACCAAGGAACGTCGACAAAACGAGTTTCTTTAGGCAGGTTTTTACTAAAAAAGCTTGTAACTAGCAAATCGCAAGATGGCGCCCCATCGTGTCCACTTTCTGCCTGGGCAAAGTAAATCTGTTGACTAAATTGTAAGTAGTCAGTACGATGGAATCATGGAACAGCTACAGTCAATTAAGGCCAAACTGAATGGCTTAGACCACAGATGTAATGAATTACGCCTTGCTATTGATGAAATGCAGGCTTACAGCTATCAGTATAACATCAAAATCTTTGGCTTGCCTACTTTCGCGGAGAGAGAGAACTCAGAGTCGAGAGCTAAATTATGTATACAGTTGTTTCACTCAATGGGAGTGAAGGATGTTTCTATGCAAGATATCGACATACCCCACCGCGTTCCTGCTCGTAAAGCTTCAAGTCGACCGAACCCTATAATTTGCAAGTATGTTAGGAGACAAGTCAAAGAAAGAGTGATGGCAGCACGGAAAGAGTTTCCAAAGTCACCCCGATCAGTTGGGTTACGGCGTTGAAGTGTCATTGTCACGGCTTGGTATTTACGATCACTTATCTCCGCTTAACCAAGCACTCTAACTTAACCGAGGCAAAAAATGTTCAACAAGCCAAGGGCTTTAAATTCTGCTGGACAAAGCGGGCGTATGGAAAAGCCGGAATCCGGAACCGGAACCGGAACTTAAATTGAGACCGGAGTAAACTTGGAAGCACTGAAACCAGTTCCCGATTATTCCCGATACCCGTGTGAAAATAAAATTCAAGATGGCATCCTCTGTTATCATTGTTTGAGAAATTTTCAGCACAGTGATCGTGATACCAAAGATATACTCACATTCGGAAAGTGACTTGCAAGAAAAAGGTAAGTGCATCCTATTGTTATTCCTAGCAGTCATAAACTGTGACTGCAGCTGTAGGTCGAGCAACTTTCGACAGATCGAAACTATAACTAATCAGAAGCCGATTGCCTGCGAAAAACAGCTATTATTGGTATGTGATGTTTAAGACCGTTGTGTTATTCATTTCCTTCTCTTGAGCCTAAATTACTCATTTCTTTCGTTCATTTGACATTCTTTATGATAGAATCGCAGCGAAAGTCAGAAATTATTTACTGGCGAGCAATCATTTCCCGTATAGCTGTTTATATTCGTTCTAAATGGTAGTAACGGTGGGACCTAATAGTCTGTAATTTAAATACTTAGTAATGACGACGGGATTACGGGAGCAAAATTTAAAAAAGGGGGATTAGACAGGAAATAAGTACCACTAGATTGATTTTACCCACTAGCAAAGGCCCTGCAGTGTTTAAAATTGTCCTGATAATTGAACAACTGGTTACTCTTACAATTAAACCTTATTTCTATCACTCTTCAGCAATTGATTACTATTTTGGAGAGGGTTGAGCCTAAAGCTTTATTGCTTGTTGGCACAAATGAGACTGCACCACTGGCAAAACACTAACACAAATTTCTTAAACAAAAACAACTTTAGTAATCATGATAACTGTTCCTTCAATTGTTAATAAAACAGCAACAATGAAAATGTGGAAAATTGAACGCAATTAAATGTCTGAAGACCTCCAAGTACCGCTGGACGGATGTGTTACCTACTTTCAAAGCCCCGGTCAACCTTTGACCCTTTAAGCCCTAAGAGTGATCAGCATCAAATTTCTCCTTGTAATATCAATGCTTTGTAAAACAGATTGGTCATGAGAATTACAGACATGATCACACAAGATGAATTTGCTTGATATTTTATCAACTTCTCCCCACTACTTCTGTAGGAAATGAATAGGGGCAACAAATGAGAATTCAAATTTTGATCTTAGGATTTAAAGGGTTAAAATTATCCTGATAATTGAAGAACTGATTAATGCCCTGCTGTAATTCATATTACTCTTCTGCAGTAAATCACTGTTCTGGCAAGGTTTTAGCCTTGAGCTTAATTGTTTGATAGCACAAATGAGATTGTTCTGTTTACAAAACACTATAAACACAAATGCCTTAACCCTTTAACTCCCAAGACTTTCTAGCGGCGAGACATTTCCTTGTACATCAGTTAGGAGAAGTTGAGGTTATATCAAGATAACACCCCATGGCTGATAAGTTTGTCTATTCTCATTTCCTGTCTGCTGGACTGTGTATTAATGTTATAAGGAGAAGTTACATGCTATCACCTGTGGAAGTTAAAGGGATAAAGAACAACAATTTTAATAATCATGATACCTGCAATCGTCAATAAAACAGGGATAATGAAAATGTTTAAAATAAAACACAATCAAAATGTCTGAAGACTTCTCCTGATATAAAAAATGGACTATCTGAGTCAAATTAATTTTTCAACTGCATACTAACAATCTACGTTTAACTGACTGAATAGGCATAGTGATTCGATGCCTCTGGAGATCAAAAGAGGACGTCTGTGGTTAAACGACTAAGATTGTTTGTTGTTACTTTACAAATTTACTATGACAGTCATTGATTCTATTCTTCGGATGGATCAGTTAAGGTGTCTGGGAAACTGCCCACCTACCCCTCCCCTAACCCAACATTTTGCCTGAAGTGAGAAGTCAGTGTTAACGTTGGGTTAGGGGAGGGGTAGGTGGGCAGTTTCCCAGAAACCTTAACTGATCCGTACAAATTTCAACATGGTTCTAATTTAAATTTGAAATGCATGCTGAGACCTCATAACCTGTGTGAAAATTAACCATGCACAATATTATTGAATAGTACTTCTGTAACCACTAACACGTACAAAACAAAAGAAGGGAGAGATCGTTTAGCGGGCTTATACTGTTAGTGTATTCATCATAACACTGATGAAATTAATCACTTTGTTATGAAGCCGAATTCTTTGCGCAGTTGATGAATGTGAACAGCTTCTAGTCCAGCAAGCTTAACAAATAGATCTTCTGTGGCAAAGTGTTTGTTTTTCTTTAACACACATGTTTTCTTTAAATGGTAATAGACATTCTGAGGCTGCACCGAGAAGGTGAGAGCGCCTGCTTTGGTTTTGTAAATTCTCAGCTCCTTGTGGCACAAGATAACATCAAAGGGTGCAGGGGGCAGCACATCACTTGGCTGACCTGTTGGCTTGGGCCTGAGCGGATAGTCACATCCGTAGCACATGTACGCTATCGTGTCTTTTATCCAAGTGCATGTGTACAGACACTCAGATGACTTAGGCTCGTGGGACCCACTCGTATCTGTAGGCGTAGTTGACTGCAAGTCGCTGGCTGTTTCCCTTGGCTGGAACTCATTTGTGTCCCTGGCGCCTGAGGAATGCTCTTCAGTAACGGTTATTCTTGGTCGGAATCCAGTTGTGTCCCTGGGAGAAGACAGGCTTCGTCGTTCACCACGTCTTCCACTCTGCCCCGGTTTCTTGCCAGAAGAAGAAGGCATTTCTTCTGTTGCTGCATCTAGTATTAAAGAAATGGAGGCAATGGTAGCGGAGGCGCTAACTCCAAACGCTTTCGACAACGGAATCTTCTGGAATTCTTTCAACTTTCTCTCCTTTTGTTCTTTTGACATTCCTAGCCACTTTTCTGCTAGTATTATCAGTCGTCGACATTCAGGACGAATCCTATAAGGACCCTCGTTTATTAGTGCCCGGTTGATGTTTCATTCTTGTTCCTCTGACATTTCCTAGAGTTGGTGTACGCATTCAGGCCAAAAGAGCTTCTTTTTTCCATACGGGTTTTAATGCGATTGTTCATCGACTCTGGGTCGTTGTTATAAAAGAAACTGTCGTCAAACCCGGTCTTCTTTCTTACACTGGCGATCATCATGCTTTTCATGTCCTCTGCGACGTAGTGTAGAAAGTAACTCTAAAAATTCGGTACTTTCCTCATTGGTTAACTTCCTAACCTCCAATTCGCGCTTTGTCCATACGGGATATAACGATTCAAGGACAGCATCAAACTCATCGCGACTGACAGCATCAACAAGGCCAAGTTCCTTTTTTTGCCTCCGAACCAAATATATCTTCCAAAAAAAGTTTCTCGTGGAACTAGCCGATTCCTAGGTCTTCGTCATAGCTTCGTCATCTTACGTCGGATATCCTGCTCCAGGTGACCTTTGCAGCAGAGCTGTTTAGCGATCGGGAAACAAGATGAAAATCCTTTCCTCAGTGCAACGTCCCTGTCGGAGCCAATCGCCAGAATGTTGCTTAGCGCATCATCGAGGGAGACAATCGACGAACCGAAAAACTTGTAACTTTCTGCCTTTGTTTGCATGTGGATCATAGTCGGCCCCAATATTGTAGGTTCCTTTCCGAGGTGGTAGGGGTAACAAAGAATTCACCAATATTGAATGTTGTGTCTATACACAGCACTGACGCTGGAAGGAACTTTGTTGTACAAAATCGTACTAAATCGTTGAGCTGTCCGTCACTTGCTACAATACAGGACGGCTCTGGGGTGACCTGGGCAAGTCTTATAAAAGGCTTCAATTGGCTTGCTTCCAGCCTGGACATCTTGATTAACTCGGACGTTTCATCTTTGACTTTTTTCGGCTTCGCGTTTCGTTTAACATCACTGACCTGTTGTCTGTTTCTTGGCAAAACTCTGTGTGATTGGAATCCAAGCAAACCTCCTGCGTCCTCAAAAAACTTCGTCGTATACTTGAGGAAGGCCCCTTTCGTTCTTTTGCTTCCTCTTTGATGCTCTGCAATGTACTTGGACGACTCCCATAGTACGAACTGTTACTCTTCTTTACATTTCCATGAGCTACTGTGGTGACAGGGTGAGGTTCATTATCGAATTCGTAGCAAAGAAGCACATGTGGAAGCCGCACCCCTTGTAGTCATACCCCTCATCATCGGCTCTTAAAATCTTTGTGGCGCTGATGAGTCCAGTACGTTTTCTTTAGCGGCACAACATTTTCATCCTCCACCCTGGACGGTTTCTTCTTCGACAGGAAACGAGCTGCAGATGCTGTAACATGGAAATATCCAACTGTTACCTTCCCCACGTTGTGAAGAGCGCCCAGATCGTCTGCTTTCCAGTCATTAGGATTTCTTAGGGCCTTCCTATCTATAAGAAAAGTGGCATTCTCCTCGCACTTTACGGGTGCTTTCTGGCAGATGTAATCTTCTGGTGGATTCCTAAGAAGATTTGCTATCTCTTCCAAGTCTGATTCAAAGTCTACCTTTATGATGGGCAGTTGAACATCATTCTTGAATAGCTGTGGAAGTTCTTCTGTGTCACTTTCGGCGAAAGAGGAGCAGCCCTAGGATAAAATACCAATGTCACTTTTATTTCGCTGAATGCTCCTATTCTATTTTCTGTGACACCCCGGGAGAATCTACAGTATGTCCACGGAATTACCAACAACAATGTCCGGTTAATTGAGGATTCATAAAATACAGCTTTATTTAACTTTGTGATGATGACACGGCTAAGTAACGTTACTTATTATGTGGAAATGAATATTTGTCGTTGATACGATTATAACAAGAACTTGGCTTATAAATATATTTCCCACGACGAGATCTCAATTCAACTTCTTTTAATTCCTCCACAACACAATTTTCCTTCTGTACAACTAGCTCATTACATTCTCTTAATTGTCGTCACCTCGCTGCCATCAAAACACTCTAACACAAAACTTCCTGATAGTGCAAAATCCCGACGCACAGCATCGTACATGTACCGTGTCACAATATACACAATTAGATGAAAAAACACAACACGCAATACAAAAACAAGCGCATTAACCGTCACTCTGCTAAACAAAATTGGAATAATAAAAATTGTTACAGTTATCACAGTAGTTCCAAAAGAAGCCTGAGTCCCTTTTGGTTTCAATTGTTGACAATCGTCTCTTCCTTCATCGGAACAGATTTTTATCACAGGCAACTCTTTGTGTTCCGCAATGCAAAAATCAAAATCACTATTGTCACACTGATAACCAGCTACACAACTCTTGCGACTCTCAAACTTGTTAAACATTTCGCTGTTCAAACTCTTATCCTTTTTACACGTACATTCCTGATATTCCGATTTGTCATTGCGTCTATGGGGTCCATGAGTCTTTGATGTCATTAAATGTCTTGATAATTTCCTTTGTTTTTCTTTGAGTTCGCGGACCAGCCCATTCCGAAAACACTCAGTGTTATTTTTTAGTGTGGGCCTACCGCGAACAGTGTGTGCATTTGTAAGTTTAACCCGGGATAACATAATTGAACAATGTATTAACACGTTCCTCGAAACGCCGCTGCCAAATGTTATCCAAACTGTTTCTTACTGCTGCTTCGAAAAATTTCGGATCGAACGATATGCAAATCGTCCCTCATTGGATTATCCACTCGACCTAACAAAATCGATCAATCACAAAATAAGGAAAAGAAAATGGACATAAAATAAGGAAAACAGCAAATTCAGATGACTTCTTAGGAAACCTGCAATTAAAACTGTCTTTCGATGATTGGTGCATTTCGATCCTCGTCAAAAAAAGGTCAGACGCCAATCATCTTAGCGGACCTCTTAGGAAACGAAATTTTTACTTCAACGGGTTCAAAAGGTCATTGTTTGTTATTTGTGATTGGTGGATTTCGATCCGTTTTGTGAGTTTCTGCGTATAAAGGTTCGTTGCTTGTGATCTTATTGTGACCAAAACCCGACGTTAATATTCCAAATATTTTTGATAGATTCCACCCCTGGACTTCAGACTTCCGAATTTCGATGAGGTAAAAATACTGAAGATTCAGATTAACTTTTGAGATCGTTAAGGGCGATAAAGTGCCGTGCTAGCAGGGCTTTCTTTCTCACATGCCTCTTACCATGTACAAGACGTTCGCATGGCAGACATTCGCCTCGCTTCGCTTGTTTACTTATTGCCTTGTTTACGTTAGCACGTATTGCGTGCCTATTGTACATTCGCGTCAAAACAAGCCGCTTTCATTACTCTATTTGGGCCACACCCTAATAATAATAATAATAGTAACAGTAGTAGTAAAGTCTTCATTTTGTAGATAAAATACATATCTGAAGTTACAAATTGTGTAATAGAACAGCAAAAAGTTAACAACTAAATTTACAGAGCTCATATTTAAAAACTAGATTTGGCAGCCAATAAAGACATGAATGGGTTAGTGACGTCACACGTCACGCAAGGGTAATACCGTGGAATACCGTGGTGCTTTGTTCAAGTAGCATGTCCTTCAAGTTTCTTATCGAGGCGTGCAACACTTTGATCCTGGTGCGGCCCTTGAATGACATGTGACACTAATCCAGGTACCTTGCTCTTTTGAATCCTTTGTCCGAATGTACCGACCACACCCTTCTTTGGTGCCTTTACATCTACAGCACTTTTTAGAACCGTTGTCCCACTGCCTGGATCCCACCCTTTTTGTTCCACAATTGCCTATGGCAATCTTTTGAAACCTTGTCCAAATATGCTGGCCACACCCTTTTTTGGCCTCCCTGACCCCTGTGGCAATGTTCTGGATCCCTTCTCTAAATATCTTGACAACATCATCCTTTTCGCTCCCTCCACCTGACGAGTCTAACGCACACTCTTTTCAATCCATCCCCATGTAAACACCCCAACCCCATCCCCACCCTAATGCACTTATTCAGATCTATTCCAATTCAAAGGCCCCATCCGCACCCTGCGGCACTCTTTTTCAAATCGGTCCCTGCTTAAATACCCCATCCGCACCCTGCGGCACTCTTTTTCAAATGCGACCCTGTTCAAATGCCCCAGTCGGCACTGTGCGGCTCTCTTTCAAATCCATCCCTGCTCAAATACTCATCCTTGCCTGTGGCACTCTTTCCAAAATAAGATAAATGACGCTTATCATTTTAAAAGTAAAAAAGAAAACAAAATATTAGAAATGGTAACTCACTCTTAACTCAAACTCAACTGAAACTCGCAAATCGATCGTTATCATATTTCATTCAAATGAATTCAACACAAACAACTTAAACGTGATACGTTTGTAAGATAACTTTAGCTTAGCTTTATAATTTTTCTTTTTTATACTTCAATAAAGACACTTTAGTTCAAGAACGACAACAAAGTTCAATAACAACTACACGAGTTCAGAAAATGACATAAGCATTACTAAAACCCAGTGAAAATTCAGTTTTAAACACTGCGCAGTTAAACAAAGACATAAAAGTTCAAGAACGACAATATATATAGTTCAATAACTACTACATGAGTTCAGAAACTGATACAAGCAACAATGTTTGTTTATTTAGTTAATGTTATGGAGGGGGTCCATCGGGACTGGGAATGTGGGGCGCCGGCCCCTTTTAAAGCATATTTTTTATTTTTTTACATATTCGGACTGTACGTTATTGACAGATATGTCAATTGACATTGTTCATCCTTTGAAATCTTTTAGGCTTGCTTAGCATTGTCTCATCCTCCAGCTTGCTTAGTTTCATTCTCCACCCAACATAGCTTTGTGGCAAAATCCCAGAAGGCGTGTCTTGGCAAAGCCGCAGTTATCCCACGAACACAGGCAGCCCAATAATTTAGCCTCCTTGTTTTACTGTCTATACTGATAAATTATATTCCTCAACGCTCAGTCATTGCTATGGTTTATTGTAGATGGCTTTTTGCGGATAGATTAACAAATTCTCATTTAGTTATTGGTTATTGGTCCGAGAATAGGTCTACATTTGTATATAGGTTGATAGGTTCTCATTTAGTTACGGGTTTTCATTTAGTTATTGATTCCAGAAGAGAAATTTGTATTTAAATTATTTTGTTAATGCACCTGAGGTTTTAAAGTTGTAAAAATAAGGGGCTGTATATTCTTTTGCTAGTGGGGGAGGGGAGGGGGCGGGATTAGTTTGTGGTGTAGTTTAGGGAGTTGGTGTGGAAACATTTTATTATCAGATCTAAGAGATGTTGAATACGCGATATGGGATTATACTGATAATAGTATCTATATTTTTAGAGATGTTAACATGTAATTCGGGGTTATATTGTCTATGTTTATTTATTTTCTATACCTGGATTTTTGTATGTCTATAAATATCTTTTTTAATAATTTATCTGATAGGTTTCAAAATAAAGTGCTTCCTTGAGCGAGAAGGTTCTGTGGATGGTGAGGACTGATACTAGTGCATGGTGGTGAAGAATGTTTGCTGTGTAGGGTGGAGGAGGTGCCTGCCAATTGGAAGCCTGTACAGAACCAGTATGGGTGATAAATTTCACAGAGATAGTGGTGTAATATAGGAAAGCGATGAATGGAGGCATAGGTGTGGATACGGTGGAAAAGGAAAAGATTCTACAGGATGCGAGAAATAAGTTTATTTGCTACATATACAGTACAGGTTCGCCTTTGGACACAACTATCAAGGACTTCGCTTGCCATTTCCTTACCAACAACAATTTGTATTGGAAAACTTGATTTGCATAATAAGTTTTAACAAAGGTCATGCTGCTGTTTGAATCTCTTTTTATATTTTTATATTTTTTGGTTTCTGCCAAAATTTGGTTGGCCAAGCGGCCTAGCTGCCCCGCCATTAGTTGTAGCTGGGCAGCCACCCGCTTGGCTTCTATGGTGGCATTCCTAATTTCTGTGGCTTTTTGCACCAATTTTTACTCCTTTTCCTTCAGTTCTTTTTCCTTCTTTTTTAATTCTTTCTTCCTTTCTCCCGTCTGTATTGTAGCCAGGCAACTGCGGACTTCTAGCTCCTCCTCTGGGGACAGCTGCAAAAATGATTAACCCACCTATATAGCTTTTCTATTATTTGTTAGCTTATCTTTTCCCGGACCGCACGATTATGTGATACGATGAGCTCATCCTTTTAAACAAAAAGCATCTTAGTTCAACAAAATGTTGAAAGCCTTGTCTCATCAGGAGCTCAGAAGGCAATCAAGGAAACAGGTTAGGGAAGGGAGGGAAGAGAATTTGCCGTAGGGGATTGGGGCGGGTTGCGGAGAAAACCTGTTTCCACACGTTTCGACGCCATTATGGTACCATTTGGCTGAGCCCTACGTGTCTTTTGTTACTTAAAGATGCTCCTTGCTATATCTAAAAATCTCATACCTGGATTTTGGGCTGTTTGGTCTTCGGGCAATTTGGAGTGTCCATGTTGGTGGTCTATAGCGGGAGAGGGTGAGTAAATTTTGGTATTTGTTTTTGTTAGTTCAATAACCACACAGCAGTTCAATAAGTACATAACAGATCAATAACCACACCAGTAGTTCAATGACCACACATTAGTTCATTGAGCGTAAACTACATGTAGCTGCGGGAAAATAGCCACAAATACGTTAGTTATTTTTAATAAGAATGTGTAGGATTAAGTAAGTGGTAAATACTCATTTAGCTATGGTACGAGAACTAAATAGATAAATAGCTATGTTACACTGTTATTAAGTTCTAGTGAGCTCACTAATATAGACAGGAACATAGACTGACGTTAATTTAAAAAACTTTTAGTCTGCTCAGAAGGTCTGTCATTCTCGTCAGGGGCACAGTGAACAGACCTGGAAAGAGAGTCAGCGCCGAAAAGGGAAAACACCGACTCGGTCCGGAGAAAACTTCAACTAGAAACCCGACAAAGCGCGCCTTGATGAAGCAGAAAAAAAATAAATAAACAGTTAACGGTGGATGAAACCTTGTTTTTTTACTCTCTTTCCGCACGTTTCAAACCGTGGTACCACAGCTGGCCCTACGTGCCTGAGTCGACTACCATCAATCTATGTTTAAAATTAGTCAGTTTTTACCGTACAAGTCCTGAACTTCCAACTTTCTTGGTTGTTTCAAACTTGAAAGGCCGCTGCTCGTTTCCTGGCCATATTTAAAAATCTGCTGTCGATACGATAATGACTGTGCAAATATAAGAGATCATAACAATTGCAAACGATGCCTCAGAAAGGTACCAACAGTTTTCTTTCCAAAACGAATTAGAAATAAAGTTTCAAATGCGTCTAACTCACCGCAGCTTGAATAAAAACAACCAGTAGGATGACTGTACTATGTTTTCTTCACTCGATGGCTTACGTCATTTCACATCATGTGCAATTTCTTCAAATGTTAACCGGCAACCGCCGTGAACTTTCGCGCGCAAATTGAAGGAGTTACGTCACAGTAATCCTGGTGTGTATATAAGTGAGGCCTTTTTCTCACCAGTTCGGTTTTCATATTCTAATGTAGATATAGACTTAAATTACATAAATTATTATGTATTTAAAAATGTACATAAATAAATAAATAAATAAATAAATAAATAAATGTGATGAAGGTGACATATAAACAAAAAAACAATTATTTCAATGACAATGATAATGAGATATGACGGGGTTTTACAACCATGATACCCGCCCATAAACATCCCTATCTGATTTTACAAGCAACCAAAAGGATGCCTGTCGCACAAGTGCAATGACCTTCTACAGTAAACAAAGCTGACAGATCTGGCGCACAGCGGGCAGTTTAAGGGAAAGACATGGTTGCCACATACCAGAATAGCCCAGTATATGGATTCAACACAGTTTTTGTTTTTGTTAGTTCAATAACCACACAGCAGTTCAATAAGTACATAACAGATCAATAACCACACCAGTAGTTCAATGACCACTCATCAGTTCATTGAGCGTAAACTACATGTAGCTGCGGGAAAATAGCCACAAATACGTTATGGTTCTTTACCATATTGTCAGTGCTTTTTTTTCTCTTTATTGGGTAAGAAGGGGGTGCTAATTTGAATGGGGTGCTTATATTTAAAGTCTGTCGCTTATTCGAACTTTTGCGGTATTTTGCAACCTGAGCTGGACGGACGCTGGAAGGATCATGACAAAGAAAGTGATAGAGTGCTAGTTAAATTGTAGCGGCAAACAGCTAAACCAGACGTTGAAATAAAATTCACGAAACATCGTGCTATCTTAAAATGTTTGCAGTTAATTGACGTTCTTTAATTTTACGGGTCTTGACTTCTCAGATCTAGTTTCACTATTTGTTAATGGGTCGGGCTAGGCACGAAGGTTCGGGTGGACATGTCACAGCGAAACAGCGTTTTTATTGGTCAATAAGATCAAAATGCTTGGAATGCTATTGAACGTTGTGTACTGTCAGCTCCACAAAAACATAGAACAAAGGAGAGGGTTTCATAACCATTCCACTAGTCGTGACAAGAGGGTGTAGATGTGATTAACAGTTGCAAATCTGCCAAACTTTTAACTGTGCATGTCAGCCTAAAAATGGCCGAAAATTAAAGTGATATCTGAAAAATGTTTAAGAAGTGTTAGCTGAGATTGATATAAATTCACCTCCTCCTCCTCCGCAAAAAGTTGGCTCGGCTACAAACCGTGTCACTTTGTTTCGATATTTGGATCACCCTCCCGGTCTGGCCGCCGTTTCCCGATATAAAACCTTTGTTCTTGACTAGCACAACAACAAAAACTCGATACCAATTAAGCACTCCCTAAACCATCAATTATTTTCGTCTAAAATCGTGTTGGAAGAGCATATTTTACGGTTTAGCCACCCCTCTCTCAACATTTTATTTACTGAATGGAATTTAGATGTTCGATCTAGATCAAACATTTTCAACCAACATTTTGCATCACAAACAAATGTTCGATCGTTTTAACACCCCACGTTGCGCATGACAGATACAATTTTGGACGAAAATGTTTCGTGGTTCAGCCGGGGCAAAAAAGAAGAAAGTAGGCAACAGGCCAGCGAAGATCAACGAGAAAGAGAGTGAATGATGAACTGTTAAGAGTTTGCGAGCTATTAGTTGGTCTCTCGTTTTTGTTGTCACAGTGGGGCGACAATCAGCGGCCTTGCTGTAAATAAGCCTTTATTAAAAATGTTGCCTGATGATGGTGAAAACAGCCAATTAACCAGCGCATGGGCTATAGTCTTTTTCGGCACCATAAGAGGTTGGTATCTCGGAGTAAGAGTTTACGTCCTCGGCAGGGAAAGCCCATAATTTCTGTGTTCTCAAACATTTAATGAAATTTCGACGTAGGAGAAAGCATACCACTTAATAACTTGCCCTCTACATGTTGTTTGAGAATTAAAGGACCATTTTGAGTCGACCGCTTACTGTAACGCGCACGGACGGTCATCTTTTTGATTGGTTTCAAATGTAAGTGCGATCTGAACTATAAAACCCGACACTCTCCCCTTATTTAGTACATATAAAACCAAGATGTCCGCCCTGGCAGCCAGGACTCGATCTCGACGGAAAAATGGGACGCCGATACTAAACTCCTTAAATCGATCAGATTTTTCAAGTCGTTGTCACTTATTGTTATATGGGAGTTTTACTGAGAAGACTACATAAGACTAAATAGAATAATTCGAGGGAGAAAAATGTAACTTTCTTTATTGTCTGTAGCTGGACAGATGCATTCGCCGATTTGATATTGTTTATTACTTTCTCCCTCAATCCTTAGCTCCGATCGTGCGCCTGACTTTTGGATTGTTATTATTCCATCTGATGCACAACTACATTTGTACAGGATCACAGAAAGAGCAGTTTGAAGTGGTGACAACCTGCTCACAATAAAAAAAGAACTTTAATAAGTTGACTTTGTGTTTTGATCAGTTTTACAATTCTAATTTTGCTGTTAGCGATAAGACTATTCACCACTATCCTAACTATGTTATAGCCTACGAGGGGGGCAGATGAAATATTTTATGCTCCCCGAAGCTCGCCATGTTAAGGTGGTTGAGCGAGGGGTCTGTTGACCCGGTGATGATCCTATTCAGCAGAGTCTGTTGCAAAAAAAAAAAAGACAGATAGAATCTGAAAAGGTGCAAAACAGCAAGAAACTGGCCTAAGACTTTCACAGTGTATTCGCATATGATAAGACATTTTTATTTATTTAGTTCACTAAGCGGAGTTGCATAAACATTCATCCGTCAACTTTGCGTTTGGGCTATAATTTCCTTCTGCACCTGCCAGCTGACTGGTTTAGACGTGCTGTTGTAGGAAGGTATTGGCAGGTAGCACTTTTGGGAAGTAGAAGTGAGATGTGTATGTCTTCGGCCTCAATATATAGTATATAGGAAGGATGTGAACTGAAAAACTCTGTTGAGATAATTTCTGTCAGTCGGTCAAATATTTTTAAACAGTAAACGCTTATCCAGTGCGAAACAATGACGAAAAACTTCTGGCTAGGATCCCCCACCGTTAAGAGAATAATGGTTTCGTCAAAAACTATTAAAAGCAGTCTTACTAAGTATTCACTTAGTCCGAGAAAAAAAAAACGCTTTTGTTTTTATGAACGTTTACCTAATCTTGCATTCTATTTCGCTTTAACAATTATTTTCAATTTCTCAGAAAATCAAGTGATGCATGTGTTGTGTTGGAAATTGGCCGAAAAAAGAGATTTTCGTGAGTATGGTGTTATGTTGGGCGAGTGTGGTACTATGTTGTCTGAATTATGAGTCAAAATGACAATTATAAATTTTAATGGTGGCAATTATCGAAAAAAGGATAAAATAAGGTAACAGCTATAATTCTCCCGATCCCTAACTGACAATTAGGCCGACCCGTTATTCTCAAACTGATTCTAAATAAGATTTCTGCTGAAAATTTTGAAGTAAAAACTCCACCTAATGCAAACATCAATTAGTTTCCGCTCACCAGCGTCTTTTTACAAAGAATCATAACAAAGAAAACTTGCCTCCCGTTAAAACAGCGTCATTGTTAGAAAACACTTTTAATAGAGTAACTAATTAACACTTTTCTCTCCTTTGTATCTTTGAGATCATAATTGAAATGGTATTTTAAAAGTTAAACAATTAACAGAATCTTTTTTATCGTGAAAAAAATCTTGAGTCAAATAGAACTGAATACTCACTGAAGTACCAGCCTTGTCTATTGTTTTGACAATCTTATGACGCTAATTTGTAAATTTTGTAGCACAAATTCGTTTTTTCCCTTGGGTGGTATTCGCCCGCATGAAATATTTATTTGTTCAATTCTTCCCTATAATTTAAGGCTTCAATCAATAGGATAACCTATTAATTAGCACAGCGCGAATTCCTCTGAAAAGTTAGAAAACAGAGGCTATGCCACAGTCGGTTCTTGTCCTATACGGAGTAAACTCAGCGGCGATTTCTACATCGGAAGAAAACAGGGGAGTGTGAAGGCCTCTATAAAACACAAAATGGCATCCAAGACTGCCGTCTTCTTTCTTTTGCTGGCATTTTGGGGAATTTTGGACATCAAAGCCGCGTCTGTTACCAGTTATAAGAAAGATATGTGGGTTGATCGTCTTGCAGGTTTAGTGTCTTCCTTTATTTTTCAAATTCTGTCACTTTACTATCATGGATGGTGCACACGAATTTCCCTCACTTTAAAATCCAGTTTTCACCTCTTACTATAACAAATGATTCGTATAGACAAATCCGCCATCCATATTCTAAAAATTATTTCATTTTTCAACCGCCCAGACCGACAACTACAAAAGAATCGTTCATATTTTCATCAGTTTCTGTAAGAAAAGGCACGGCACAACCTAGAATGAAATACATGTACTTCACAAATGTTAATAATATGCCAAACGCGGTCAAACCATCCTTTCTAACGTACAAGTTTAATATTCACTTTCCCAGCTGATTCCAATTCAGAAAATTCCTTACATATAAATCGTAACATAAAGAGATTCAAAAGTTGTTTAAGCTTATTTCATGATATCACCCGGAGAATGAACGGCATTTTTGTCCCTGATTACTCGACACTAACACAAGAAGGTGCCGAAAATATTCCATTCCACAGATACAGTAAAAATATATTAAACATTCCTCGCTGAAGATAGGCGTTGGAACTTAATTTTTAATTACAGATGGATCCCAGATGACAATGGTTAAAGTCATTCCAGTTGTTACTTTTCACGTGACTCTTTCATCAAAATTCACTTTCGGATGAAAAATATTCAAATTGTACTATTTTTTTTAAAGTTATGCAACATATGAGGAAAAATAAGACGCGTTTCTCATTAGACGCGTCCTAAATAAGACGCAAACTATGCAAACTATGCCGTGTCTTAGCAAAGACGCGTCTTATCGAAGAACAGGTGTTAGGGGCTGTTCTTAGGTAAGACGCGTCTTAGCTAAATTTGAAACGAAATTTGCCGTTTTGTATACGGGATAGTTTGAGTCTTATGTAGGACGCGTCATTTGTAAGACGCGTCTTATTTTTCCTCGTTTAAACGGCCCCAATGGATCCACATGAAAAATCCCACGAATGTTTGAACGGAACAGTGGGCGGGAATCAAACTTTTGTGCTTGCTTTGTTTCCTTTGATATTTGTTTTGTCGCTTGTTGTTTTGTCTATTTTAAGGTTTTCTGTTTTTGCTCTTGGCTGTTTCAATCGACAGAAACGGATTATTAATCTAGAGAAACTATGGTCATCACTGCCAAATAGAATTGAAGGAATCGAGTCTTAAAAAATCGAAACATCGGCTTTTGAGCTCATATATCATTCATATCTCTCCCGGCCTGGGCTTACAAAAAGTTGCAGAGCCCAAATTGAAAATTGGCTGCTGTGAAAGCAATCAACGCGTAGGCAAGAATTTAAATTGATCAAGAAAAATTGGACTAAGTGACCCATTGGCTGTTGTTCACAGCTAATCTGCAATCAAAGAGTCCGAACCTAGTCCGTTACAAATCAAAACCAAACGTCTAACGTGTCTACAAAGTAAATAATGAATCGTGTGTTCTATGAGATTGTGAAATTTTATTGGGATGATAACTGGCAATTAGACAGTAACTACTGCAGCTTCAGATTTAGTTTTTGATTTAAAAAATTGGTGTCAACCACGGAAACCAACTTTGGCCTATTTTCACACTAGACCGGATAACCTGCGATCAGGCGTTCTTTTTTCGGGATAGCGCAAACAAAAAGGGAAGAAGGACCACCTGATAGCTCCTTGTGCCGACACGATAGGCTGTCTTGTATACTATGAACATCATCCGATATGTGACTCTTCACTTCAGAGATCGGCGCGATGCAGCTTCGCTCAGTTACAGAAATCGCGCCGAAATCACTGTTCTTATGATGAATCCAGTATGGCTTTCGTGCCTGCACACAAGCCACCTGGTACTTACCTGTGAACATAGCCTTGGACAATTCACTTACCTTCTTCAGGCAGACAATTGCTTGATAAGTCAGAACAAAATTGTCATGACCATTTCGCTTTTCAAAACAATAATTCCTTAGGAAAAGCCGCAGTCTTTAACGGAGGATCGTCTTGCTCCGTCAATTCAGAAAATCATCCTCTTGAAGCCAATCTTTCCGTCTCTATTGTTTTGTTTTGTTTTGTTTTTTTCAGACTCAGACGGGAGTAAGCGAACCGCAAATGAGGACAGGGAAGAATCAGATTATAAGGCTGAAGGTATCTTCGCTTTTAGAGACATATAGATACTCTAATCGTTGAGTGGTGCTTAACAACAATTAAAAGCTTTTCAATATTTCAGCAAGAAGGTGTCAGCAGTGAAGTATGTAAGTCAAACATTCCCTCTTTCACAGCATTACTCGAAAAGCTTGCACCTATTTTTCTCTTCCTATATGCTGTTGCTATTATAAACAAAGAAAGAGAAGAAAAATCCATATTGCTTTGTTATTCATTCGTAAATAAGAAGCCTCACTCGCACAAGTGATTTTCCGCCAGCTCGCCAAACTTTTCCCGTAACTCCCTGGATGAGCTGCTCGCCGGCTAGAAATGAGCACCGCCCCAGAATAAGAATTGCTCCTACAACTTGAAAAATAAAAGCACCGCGGCGCTCTTTAACGGTACCAGAGCAAAAACTATTTAGTGCTTTTTACGGTCGGGTTATAAACTCCCACGGATATAAGCAAGCCCCTCCGTTAATAAGCCTCCCTAAAATCTCTGACGAAAGCCCAGGGATTTATAAGCAACAGTTCACGGTATAAGATTTTATGCGCTTATAGTTGCGTCGGTGTTCGTTATCATTTGACAAGACTCTTGGGGTCGGTTAGTCTAACTTAGATCGGGTTTTAGGAAATCTTTGGACCTCAAGATCTCTTCCTTAGTGGGTTATTTTAAGGAAACAAATGCTTTTCCAGTTTACACTACATGCTTTGATGAAACTGTTCACGCTAAATAGTGTTTACATAAAAGTGTTTGGCAAACTGAAAATCGATTGGGACGTGTTAAACACTCGCTAAACTGCTTTTGAGTAACTAGCCCTAGATCTTTTACGTGCTTTTGGAATTAGATCGTTTGTGTGAACCAAGGGCTTGACGGAGCTGACATTTCTTTTCTTACGAAAGAAAATGTCATGTTAGCCGGGTTTCAATAAAACAATTCTGACAATTGTGTTTATTTAAATGTCCAGCAGGTGATGTTGCTTTCGATGTCAACGGGGTATCTGATTACTATAACAATGCTCTAGAGAACAGGGAAGGTAAATGAACTTTCTTATGCATTTGTTCACTATATATCTCATTGAAACTAAATTTTAAAAACTCGTGACGATCTTCAATACGCTATGATAAGCTCATAATTACTTTATTTGTAATCACTGACCTGATCTAGAGAAGTGTGCTGTACGACGACTATCGTTATTTATTTTCTTTTTTATCACAATTGTGTTGGCATTGTTCTTGTCGTAAGGATTTTATAAAGTTTTATTTGTTCTTCAAGTGTCGTTATTTCTTGTCACCATCTAACATGCGATAAAACTCCATTTGGGGGATACCACGAGAAGTCATACGCAAGCGGAAACTGGGGCGAAGGAACTCGAAACGGAGAGCTTGTTGAAGCTACTCATTACCTGTATAAGTCAATGTCAACCAATACGATAAAAGAACACATTGCTCCCCCCAAAAAAGTGCAGATGGCCGGTCTGTGCTGTAACCCTTTTTCCTTATTTTAGCCTGTTTCAGGTATTCAAGTAGTGGGGACGGCTCAAAGCAGTGAGCAAAATTAAACATCCTCTCTTCCTCTATACATGTATTTTTTCCCCGCTCGGTGACTTCGCGTCGCACTGACTATCTGAACTCCTTAAACAGGCTATTCCAATTTTGATGTTTCTTCAAAATAGCATCAACATCAGCAGTATTTGAAAAAGCTGAGTTGTTATGTTAATGCAGGATAATTAATTGTTTTTCCGCTTGTTTGTTTGATATTTCCAGTGAAATGCTTGGACCGCTTTCCTCAATTATGTAAAAGTCTGAGGTCCAAGTGTCTGGGTCTAAAATCAAAGTTGCTACGTTACGAAAAGAAATTCTGCGATGGAAGATGCTCCCGTAAATGTAACTGAAGTAAGTGGTGAGTGACAGAAATTCAACGCTTGTATTATAGTCTGTATGTTTTCGACCCCTTTTTGAGAGAGAGAATCTCATTTAAAAAAAAAAAATTGAAAATTATTCTTTTAAATGGTCTTGTTTTCTGACTGGCAATTTTCAAACGGAAATTGATTTTCCAGATACATGTTCACTGAGCCTTCAAAGTCCATCCAGTCCTGGCCAAAAATTGTTAAACTACATCAAAGCGTTCGTGGCAGAAGTGTATAGGAAAAGGGAAAGATTAAAATAGTAGTTTGACCTTCCATGGGTGTGGCGCCCTGGAGTGGCGTCATTTCGTCAAGAAATTGGCGAGTCGCTGCTTTGATAGACACGTTAATATAAAGCAGTCATAATAGGGGCTCGACCAGCTTCATCTGTTTTGATGGTCCCTACAAAAGCTTGTCAAGCAACCGTTTTTGTTTCGAAGCAGACTGAACTACAAATACGGCAAAGGTATTCACAGCTGCTAGCGAGGGCGTTAATCGTGTACACTTTGATAAGCTCGATTATATTGTACCTATATGCACACGAGTGCATGTTTGACAACATCGCGGCTCTTACACTATTTAGACCATAGACTTTTGACAACTTATGAAGACGGCCTTTACTAGGTGTGAAGATATATCAAAAGGGAGCTTTAGCACTGAACGACGACGGCGACGGCGACAAGAACGTCAAAATGTTAAGCAAAACAACAACTTTGCACGTGCATCATACTTTTTTGTACATTTCCTTGCCGTCACTGCACGACTACGACGTGAAAGGCCTAATTTCACGTTTTATGGAGGACGTTAACAAGCGATGACGAATTTTTCTATCTCTTTCTAAACGTAAGTGTGGTCCACAAAAAATCAACTCCAGGGTCCGAAATTCGCCCACTTTATTTTGACATTTTCAGCGAATTGGAATAAACGCGACAGTGTTTGAAAAAACGCGAATTCATTTTGAAAGTGACGTTCTCGCTGCAGTTGCCGTCACGATGCCAAAGCTCCCTAAAAGCTGGGTAAATACGGTCTTACTGAGCTTATTTGTAGTGGGATCGTCAAAGAATCAACGCGTGTAAATATCGACCTGGAAAATAACTAAACTTTGATGGCTACCAATCTGCTAGCCTTGCTTTAAGAGTATAGTGACTCATAAATAGATATCATTAAATCGTTGATAAATGTTGTCTGTTGTTTCTTTATTCTCTTGTGTTTGTTGCAGACCTTACTCCAGGAACTGTTCTGAAAGGATCTTCTCGATAAAATTCCTCAAAGGACTTTTAGACGACGACTTATTTTGGCTGAGGGTTTTTCAGAGAGAAAAATGTTTCCAGGGAATTTTTTTGCTCAATTTTGTTTAGGACTTGGTCTTGCCTTTACATTAAAATGGGTGGAAAACTAAGTGGCATATTATTTGTATTAAATGTTATCGTTAAAGAGAAAAATTAAACGAAAAAAAAAAAACAACAGACTTGAAGACAATTTTTTTTTCTCACATGGGGCACGAAATTGTGACTCATCCTTTAGGATGGGGATAATTCCTTGAGGACTCTTGGGTAATCTTACTCTATTAAACAGTCCCGTCAGTCATGGGAATAAACTGAAAGAAACTGAGACCAGGATCAGCAGATACATACCGAAAACTTTACAAACAATCTCAAAGCCTTCATTTTAGCCTACATCTGAGTCTTTCTCTGCAAGAAGATCGATTTTGAAATTAAATGTGAGGAATGAAATCTTGAGAACTGGATAAGCAAGTTCTCAAGACAAGCATATACAGGACATGTAACAATGTTCGTTTCGAAAACACCTACTCAGCATAATAGAACCTTCCAGGGTTTTCTCAACTTTTGTCATAGACCAGTTAGGGAAAATCCGTTGACGTCACTCGAAAGAGCACCCTGTAATTAGCAAAACTGCAAAGACTCCGGGTTTAAAGTGATACGTCTTAAGCGAGCCAAGATATGGCTCGTCAAAGTTGTGACAATTTACAGACGTTTGTATGGTGGGACCGGAGGCCTCATGGGCTATTGCCAGGCTCGAGGAATAATTGTTAAATACACGTGCATGTACACGAATTGTTTGCTAATGATTATTAAGTCAACACATTAAAGTGAAAGTAAAGTGAAGGTTTTATTCTCTGTTCCTTTTATCATTAAAACCAATACTAAACTGTTAAAACTGCTCACAGCTGTAGTCGAATTATGACTATAAAATTCATATAAGTTCTGTAATGCTATAAGATTGTTGTAATACAGTAAATATAAAATTAATCTTTGTAGTAATTTACCTCTAAAATATATGCACTACCGGAATTTGATTAAGAAATATACTTGTAACTGAATACTAAATACCAACTATAAAATTTCTGCCTTTTGTACGAGATATACACAAATTTTTAAAAAAGAAAAATACGTATACTTGAACAAAAATATATCGTACAAAAAAAATTATAACAAAAACTAAAACATTCATCTCACGACAACAAAAGCCAGGGGCACCCAACGAGAATGTAGTTCAAAACCACTTGAATATAGCATTGTTAAACGTATTTTAGTATTAAAACAGTAGGTATAGGCATATTTTTATCCCCTAAAAATTTTTCATCTGTTCGGATTTTCTAGCTGAAAGCCTAGTGATTCGAAAATTATAGGGATCAAAACTTACCTTTTCGAAAATTTCAGCCAGAAAAAAGGCTCCCGAAAATTGTAGGTGACCTTTTTGAGGTAAAAATCCGTTAAAAATGGGCAATTATACCATTTTTTAGATGTTCGAAAATCCTAGGAGAGGCAGACAAGCAAGAAATTTTGGAAAAAATGTTCCGAAAATTTTAGATCTCAAATCGTCTTCCGAACAGATATTTTCCGAAAATTGTCGTTGGGTGCCCCTGAAAGGCTTTATTTTGGCATTAGCAATAATTAGTCAAGAGATTTTTTGTAGACTTTACACTGCTTACGCTAAATTAGAGAGACCTCATATTCTCACTACTCACTAAACTAGGACTACAATATCTCGGCGATTATGTAGCTGTCCTAAGATACGTTTGCACCCAAATAAGGAATTAGGAACAGGTAGTTAGACAATGAAGAGGAGCTTACAGCTTATTGGCGGACGTTGGCACGACGTCATCAGGCTCAATGCCAATCGTGACCACTGGAATGCTTCACTGCTGTCTCTTGCGTTGCAAGACGTGAGAGGTTCGGAGCTAGCATGCAGGCTATCAAGAGGAGAGTCAGAAAATGGGCTATAGCTTCCTCAACATTCAGGACCTCACTGATAGCCGCCCTTTAATAAAGGCTGTAGAATGTTTTCCTCAGTTTAAACTTGTTTACGTTAATCTCTGCAATTGCAATATGACTGTATTGTATGGCATTAAAGTAGCTCTTTCCTCGTTATCCGAGGTTCAATTAGTATAGTAACATTAAGTTTGCTGAAACGTTTTCTAAGTAACATTGCTTTTTCTAACTCTGTCAATATTTGCGCCACTTTTGGAACTACCGCTGTAGGCAATATTCCTGCTTTGCTTGAACATTTTATTTCGGTGTTTTTAGCTTTAAGAAAAATATATTCCATCCTGCTTAAAAATATACAACTCTGCGAACACCAAAATATTGCAATGAAGCAACTAAGCTCTAGAATCGGTGAACTGAGTTCTTCTTCTTACTACTCTTCCACTAAGAGTACACGTCCCTTTACATTCCTCTGAATGAATCACCAAGGCTCACTGGCTCCTTGTATTGCGTGTAAAATAACGCGTTCTGCTTGTAAAATGTCACAATCTCTGTTAGACCGTCAAACGCATGTTTACCAATGACGTAACGACCACTTGGAGTTAATTCAATGGGAAAATGACGAATTCTGAAAAAAAATAAACAAACAAACATTTTCTAAGAACATTGAAAAATTTCATCGGGCAAATGCGAAGACAGTAAGCGCGTCTTCTTCAAATGAATATGAATCCACCCATATTAAATTAAATTGAAAAGGAAACTAATTATAACTTTTCAATAAGGCCTAGATAGTCGCCTTACCATATAGGCCAGAATAAATCAACTACACAACTCCTTCTCACATTTAAAATGGATAACGTTTGAGTTGAGAATGACTGGGAACTGAATTTTTTTGCCAATTTAAATGATCTAGAATTTTTTTGAAATTAATTTCGACGAACAGCTCGGCGTAAAAAATGGCAAAATCAAGACATTACTTAACAATTAAACTGAACACAACATGGGTATATTCACAGAGTGTTATGAGCCGCTTAGTTTCTACAAAAGAGATGATCAGTGTAGGGCCAAAGAAAATTGAACTTATATTATAGCGGTCAAAAGCAACACAGAATTACCTTCCACCATACTTGACAGATAGGACAAAAGACGCAAACTGAAAAAGTGAAAGACAACAGCTTGTTAGAGTGAGCTGAAACATTATACACGCCAGAATACTTTTCTAATAATAACAACGGGTTTCAAATTTGTTTTCTGTGCCTTGTGTTTGGGGAAAAGAACTTACGCTATTTTCCAAACTACGGTAAAAATAACAAACTTGTATTGACTTGTTCGATAATGTTGTCAGCGCTTAATTGGTGTTAGGGCTACTAGCATTACTAGGCTCCTGGTATTACTAGTTTATTTTTGATTGGTTCAAAGTTTTTTCTGTGTCCATTTGGATTAGCTAGAGTGATTAGTTTACTTCAGGGTGGAGTTTTGAGTCAGTCAACCACTTAATAAATACTTTGTAGAATTAGATACAATACAATAGCTAAAGTATAAAGACGTAATTATAAACGAGGGCATTCATAAGCAGAGGAGGAGAATCATCGCTGGCGCAGAATGCCTATTGTTCTCGGGACATTTTAGTTACAGTTGAGCTAGAAACAGGTCCGTAATATTACAGATGAAGAGTGAACTGAATCGCTCTCATTGGTCGAACTCTGGTGGCGCTATCTTTCCTTTGTAGGGAATACCGAAACAAAGGCCATGCGAGCTCATAGTTTATACTTTTGAAATGGCTTATGCAACGCGTGCTTACAAGCGTTAACACACAAACATAGAAATCGTTAAAGGCCAGAATACGCTTCAACTACGAGACGAATCGCTTCACAAGCCCTAGCTTCTGGACTAGGCATGGGTTTGAAATTATATCCTAGCAACATGCAGCGCATGCTCAATAAAGATCTTCTCGATTCAAACAGGGCTTATCTACGCCAGAATTGAGCAAGCGAAAGAATAGCTGTGCTGGCAGGGTAAGAGAACTTATGCCACGTCTCTTGCGTTCCAACCAGCAGAATTATTTTCCGGAACCAAAAATGATTTGCATGTTGTCTTTACCTTCTGTGTGCTCTCCCTTATCAAGTAATCCAGCTCTTTGGCACTCTGTGAGAATAAGCAAAAAATATCTCGTTTATATCGACAACAGAAACCCAATTTTATCACTCAATCGTCGAGGGAAACGTAAACTGACCAACTCATCGAGGATTCATTGTGTTTTATAGCGCGAGGCCGGAGAGGAAAAAAATGGCTCTATCCGGACGGCTGAACAATGAATTGTTGTTTAACACGTATGCGTACTCCGTATCACTTATTCCAACTCAGTGTTTTCCATACATTTCTCATTGCACTAATGTGAAGAATTTTTTCGAAAATAGAACTGCTGTTTATATTTAACTCCCTTGATCTTCCTTCACAGTCATATTAGCGCTTGGAAAGATAAAACCACCTAAAAACACATCTCATTCGGTCCATTTTGGCCGTGTGTACTGTTGTTACTTAATTAAGAGAGAATGGATCAAAAACGGAAAAAACAATTCAAATCAAAGTTCTGGCGGAAAAGTTTAAAGTTGCGGCTCTTTTTATTTCGCAACTACTTCCAATTAAAAATCTAAACATGAATCATGTGCAGTTTAGCGTGTTAAGATTAAACGTCAGTTCTCCATCATACTTCTGGGGATTATAGACATCTTACCCTCAACATAAGCTCTTCACACTTTTGACGCGACATTTTACCATAATACCACAATTCATCTCCTGCAAAAAGAAAAGTACAAACAATTAACAACTGTCAGTTAGAAAAAGAGTTTAAAGAATACAAACAAATACTACTGAAGGTCAGAATATTCGTGCGCCTTCCTGGGCCTAGAACCAGATAGACTTTTGTACATTATGCTTTTGTTTCCCCCGACTAAAATGCTCCCCCGTAATGCTCCATATTTCCTACTGAAAGGCTCGGTCTCGCCCAAAAGAAGTCACTAAAACGCTCGGGTAATTATGCCTATCATACAGAGGCTTTTTTCATTAATCAGTCTACACTTTTTGACAGAATTTTAACGCCAACAAAAACGAATTGGTGGTACAATAATAGCCTATATAGGTTAATAGTTTTAATACAGCACAACCTAAAAAAAATGACCCCTATAACGAGTTGAAACCCCCGCCCCTCCCCCCCCCCCCCCCCCCCCCCCCCCCCCCCACAAAAAAAACAACCCCAACAAAAAAAAAGTCGCGAACCAAACACATAAAAACTCAATATCACAACTCTTCTCTCCCCTTTTTTATTAATTTAGTTTGCTGTTTTTTTTTTTTTTTTTTTTATTGTCTCGATCTTTTTCTTACCCCCCCCCCCCCCCCCGCGCACCCCACATAAATAAAGATGAGTCCTAAAAGAACAGTGTTGGCATAATCACTGATTGAATTACTCAAGTCCATCGTTCTCATGCGATTTTTGAAAATGTTCGGAGTTTCTGATCTTCTTGTACATGTATCTTCAGCCAGCTTTGCTCGCAATGTAGGCCCTGGATAATTAACTTATGCCGTGTTTACAATGCGTTAAACGGTTAAACCAGGGTATGGTAAAACTTGTAAAGCATAACTGGCACTTTGGTAACTAAACATGTTAGCTATGTAAGTAGGAGAAAACAGACTGGACATAAAACAGAAAAAACGTGAGCAATAACAAACAGCTTACCAAAAGAACTATGTCTTGACCTGTCAGTTTCAAGGTTGTCAGCGGCATCTTCCTGGTCATCCTGGATAAGTCAAGTGTTGAAATATGTATATTTATCTTTAAAGGCTGGTTTTCACTAGCAACAGAGTCGCAGTCGCAGTCGTAATCAGAAGCGTAGAACTTTACGATCTAGTGAAAACAGCGTTGTGATTCCGCTTACGACACCGCCGTATATGATCAAGTGAAAACTGGTTCGCCGAAGTTGCAAGCAGAAGCGGAAGAATTAAACAAATCACAAAGCGTGGGAACGTGCCTTGTGATTGGTTTATCCTTCCACTTCTGCTTCCGACTCCGACAATCTGGTCACTAGATCATAAGTGGAACGAAGCGACGGGTCATAAGCGGAGTCGAAAGAAAATGGACACGTTCTGATTCTTCTGTGTCCTACTCCGTCGCGCTTATTACGACTCCGACTTTTGATTTTCACAATGTCATAAGCGCTCTAACGACTCCGCTTACGATTCCGACTCTGACTCCAACTCCGTCGCTATGTGAAAACCAGCCTTAATCATTCCCTTTCCGGGGTGTTTAAAGGCAAAGGGGGCGACATTGTATTCAAACCTGAACCTCGCACTGAAACTAAAATGTACAACTAAAGAAGGAATCGCAAAATATTTCAAAAAGAGCGCTTTTATAAGATTATATTAGGCGTTAATTTCAGGGATGATAGATTTTGCTCATTTAAATGATTACATCTTGCTGACAAACTTTAAATTGCAAAATCTGCTTGATACATGACACATCAGAGGTTTTGACCCATCATCTATTAATAAAATCACAGAGTGATGTCTTCTATTCTTTCCGCAAACTTGGAAAACAAAATCACGATTTCCCAATTTGGTATAACTGTGGCTTAAAGCATCGCTGTAAAGCGCGATCTACCAAATAAAAAAACAACCCTCCTAAACTTCCATCATTTCACAGTGTCTCTGTAAAATTTTATCTAAATCGCCTCTAAAAACAGCCGAGATATAGGCGTTTGAAAAGTTATAGCACAAGCAAAATTTTGCCTTATGAATGTATTTCATAAAGAGGTGTCCCCTGCAGCCGTAATCTACGCCCTAAAAAAATGGCCAGCCTCGTCTCCAGGGTCTTCTCCTACTCGGCCCCCGAGTTGGAGAAGAAACCTCGGAACGAAATGAACGTGGTTGAAAAATGGTCTTACCTGCAGCATATCCCAGAATTCACCTGGTGTCCATCCAACCACGCCCTCCACACACATTTTCCACCAACCTAAGGATTGAACTTCCAGTAACTGCCCCACTTCTCCTTTACGTATACAAATGCACTTGCTACTGTTTGTTGTAAAGTCTTCTTTTGCAAAGTAGTGTGCGTTAACCTTGCCTAAATCATATAGGAAAAAAACGTAAGAGATTTTAGGTTCTGGACTGCACAGGTTCACCCTGACCACGAGATACACGCAAAAGTAAAAGAGGGCGAGACAATAAAAAAATTATTGTTTCTTGCTCACTTCCTGGTTAAACCGTGTAAGTGATTTATTTACACTGAAAAAATTTCGTCGAATGCAAAACAAGATTAGAGCAATTCGGGTAGTTCAGAGATATTTTGGTCTAGCAAAAGAACAAAGCGCGGCGAACGAAATGAGATCTAAAGTCATGAATATTTACTTTTCAAATGATAGGTCGCTGCAACAAAGCCCTTTCACAGAGTTCTTTTTTAGGGGTCTTGAAAACGAGTTCAGTAGGTGTAGTTCTCAAAATGTTTAATTGTCCGTCATCATTGACCATGAGTCTCCACGGGGGGAATAGACCATTTTACAGTTATGAGTTTAGTACCTTAGCCTCTAAGTGAAAGCGAGGCTGAGGTTGATTTGTTTTAATACAAACCTCTTTCCTTTTCTAATGAAAGTCATGCTAAAAATACTAGTTAGCATAAGAATTACACGGATTAACATAATAAAGCAAGAAGGTTTATATCAAAACAAGGCCGACTCTAGCCTCGTTTGCACCCGTAACTGTAAAATGGACTATAGACCTTTGTCAAACGGCGGCCATTTTGTCTCAGGAGATTAAACAAGCCTTATTTATAAACAAAGCTTTTTAAATCTCCTGAGACAAAATGGCCGCCGCGTGACAAAGGTCTATTGGGCTGCAAAGTTGTTAGTCAGGTTGTCAATACACAAAAACATCAAAACAGGAAACCCCTTTTTTCCGCTAAGATTTCCGTGAAAGGGTTACAGCCTTGTGTTGTGGCTTTTTGGAACGCTAAAAAATGAATGACGTCAACGATTTCAGCCGCAAAATTTTCCGTGTTTTTACGGTTTCCAGTTATGAGCTGTGAAAAGGAAGTGCAAAGGTTGCATGCTTATTAGACTTTCAAAACAGTCCTTCTTCCGCTTCGAGGCCTAAAAGCTCGCTCCGCTGGCCAAGAAACTAGTGAGGTCGACTTGTAGCAAGTCTACATGCTTATCCGCGCATGTTGTTAGCCAGCTACATGTTTTCCCGCGTTCTGGTGAAGGACTACTGCAGGTCGCCAAATAACTTTTCCTTTAGAAAGGAAATATGTCCGCCTAGATAACCGTCTTAGTCGGACAAACCAGAAAAGGTCTCGGACATACCTTATGCTGACTTTTAATCTCTTAAAATTACTATGCAAATCTTCAGCTACCTCTGGCACTGCGAATAAGCTCGGTCATCTTGTCCAAACGAAGGTAGAATTTCGTCGAACATGGGCAAATATTGATCGGACATAGTTCAATGACTGATTGATGTTATTTGCAGCTCCGTAATATTGTCAAACTTACCAGGTTTGAATATATGATTGGGTGGGGCGCCAGGTAAAGGAGGGGCCGGCTCAGTAGGGGGATAGTCTACAGATGTTCTCCTTATTTCCATATCATTCCGAGGGGTGGGTACAGGTGGCTTGTTTGATGACAGTACAGGCATCGCTCTCTGAACTACTGAAGCAAAAGGAGCGACAGCTTCCTCCTCCTGAGAAGCATCAAATATATCACCCAATGACTTGGATCTGGCGTTAAAAAAAGCGACATAAAGAGTGATGTAATGTCCACCATCAAAGAAAGCACAACGTCACATGAGAACGAAAAGGACTGAACGTGACTACTTCCGGTGCTAAGTTTCTCGCTCTGACCCTGCTCGATACTGTTTTTAAAGTGCCCATCACCTAAAATTTTATATTTTCTTATCTGAAACTATACCTTATTAAAATAACTTCTACAAAAAATTTTGCGGTTTGAACAAAACGCGATTTTTTTTACCAATTCTTGAAGTCTACATTTTTGGGGTACACCCCCGCCGCTGATCATGCAAACTAGCAGGCTCACATATGACGTCATGAGACGTAAATTAAGGAACTCGCATTACCTTGCCTTCACCAGCTGTACACAAAAAAGATAAATTACAAGTAAGGATTGAATCACTATGTCTTCGTAAAAAGAAAGTTTTTCTGAAAAAGAAAAACTTATCAGAACTCTTAATGTTTTCCTGTCGATAAGGTCACGTGTTCCTTAAAGTACGTCATATGATGTCATAAGTCCGAGAGAAGACTAAGACGAATGGTGTGCCAAAATGGCGGCAAATTTGAACGTTTTTAAAAAATTCTAAAAAAATCTTCTTTGGTTCAAATCGCAAACTTTTTTCGCAGAAGTTATTTTGATAAGGTGTAGTTTCAGATAAGAAAATAAAAAATTTTAGGTGATGGGCACTTTAAGGTGCGGTAAAACGGGCAAAAAAACGTGCAACTTGTTGAGTTTGTGACTTTGCTACAAAACGAGTTGAATAGCGATGTTGCGCGTTTTACCATCCTAGAAAAATAACTTTGCAACCTTATTTGTTGCAAGACAGATTCCAACGTGGGTGGTAAAACGCGCAAAATCACGATTCGACTCGTTTTGCAACCATAACAATAAACCTCAGCAAGTAAATTTTGCTTATCATACTCAAACTCGTTCTAGTATTGTAGTACAATCTAAAGGTCCGTAATGACATACAAGGTCTGAATATCTCAAAGGAAGAGTGTTCTGACCAATCAGGTAATATAACAAAATTTCATAAAGATACAGTCACGATAAAACACAAGAATGACCATTTTAACCAAGCCCTCGGCCCACCAAAAGACTCTCAACTTAGTCGGGAGTCAAGAGCTTGCTGCAAGTAATTTCTTTACTCTGCTCGCAGGCCACCACGCATTTAATCACGCTATTTGCTATCTTTTTTAAAAGCTGACACTTTTCTTGCATCAACTGAATTCCAAGGATGGACGTGGATTGAAATTTGAAAAAGTTCAGTGGGCCAACTTCTCAGCGGCACCCAACGTCAATTTTCGGGAAAATATCTGTTCGGAAGACGATTTGAGATCTAGAATTTTCGTAACATTTGTTGTAAAAGTTCTTGCTTATCTGCCTCTCCTAGCATTTTCGAACATCTATAAAATGGTATAATTACCCATTTTAACGGATTTTCACCCTAAAAAGGTCACCTAGAATTTTCGGGAGCATTTTTTCTGCCTGAAGTTTTGATCCCTATCATTTTTGGATCACTAGACTTTCAGCTAGGAAATCCGAATAGATGAAACATTTTTTGGGCATGAAAATATGCCTATATCTACCGTTTAAATACTAAAATACGTTTAACAATGTTATGTTTAAGTAGTTTTGAACTATATTCTCGTTGGCTGCCCCTGACTTCTTGAAGTTTTAATGCTAAGGCTGCAAAAATCGCCAAACATTCTAATGAAGAGAACTCTGTGATGAAATTAGTGGTTGACTACCGGATAAACACACTAGAGTAAGGACTTCAGCACAGAATTGGACTAAAACAGCAATATCATCGTGATCGACGTAGCTCCTTTAAGTAATTTTATCATCATAACTTGGTATCTATCTTGTAGGGTTTGTAATTTTGGATTTTAGTATGCAACATTTTTTAAAATAATTTTATCATTGTAATATTGTATTGTCAGGAGCTCCTAGTATTGTACATTTTTAAATTTACAGCACTATTTTTATCTATTTAATTTTTAGTCGATCTTACTTTGTTAACTGACTGTCATGCGCATTTGAACATTTTTATGGAAAATTGCGCACTATGAATGTATTATTATTATTACTATTATTATTTTTATTATTATCATTATTTAAGCACAATGGCACTTGAGATTTCTGGCTTTTTAATATAATCTAGTGATTGAAGCACGTTACGTTATCTACCTTTGGGAGAGCGGTATCCCTCCTTTCTTTTTTAGTATCGAGGACGGCACCCATCCTCTTCTCCTAGTTTGGTCTAATGTGCACACGAACGCCCATGCACCATCCTCAGTAAGAAGCCGCACGGTCTCGCCTGTCGTCAGCGGCAAGTCCTCGGGTCGCTCAGCAGTTGGAGAGTAATTTGTTATTGATACGTAATGTTCTCCTGGCTGGAAGAAAAACACGAAGAGTCAATTGGATTGGATGACTACCTTCCCTAACCGGGCATAAAAAGCAATCGCTCTCTTAACACTAGGATAGCAACGAGAACGTCAAAAAAGCAATGGGTTGAATGGGCAAAACAACCACTCTGCACGTACTTTTTTGTACATTTCTTTGCCGTCAGTGCAAGACTATTACGTGAAAATGCGTAATTTCACGTTTCATGGAGGACGTGAACAAGGGACGGCGAAGTTTTCTTTCCCTTTCTCAACTTGGATATTGTTCTCAGGAATTCAACTCCAGAAGAGTTCGCTTGCATTTGACAAAGCAAGCGAGTTGGAATAAGAGAGTGAAAAAACGCAAATTCACTTTTTAAGCGACGTTTTTTAAGAAAAACGATGGCCAAAGATGAAATATAGCGATCTTTTAACCAATTCTCCTCATAAGTTCACAAGCTCCCCATGTAATCTCAACGAAGAATTTTTACTGTTCATGTTTATTTTCGACTGAACATCGAATTTACTAGAATGAATACTTCTCTAGTAAAGTAAAAGGGAGTGCATACTTACAATGTGAGTTTCTCCCCTAGGCACGTTCTGGTATTTACGGCTACCGAGCTTTACCATCTCTCCATCCGGGGCGGTAAGTAGTTGAACCCTTGGAGAGACCGTTGTGCCAAGCTGCCTGCGTTCCATTACCCTTGTGTAACCTGGATCGTCAGGATCCACATAAGAGTTTACTAGTACAGAGGGGGGTGGGGGTGGGAGCTCTGGAGAACCACTGCGCATCTACAAAACAAACAATATCTCTCCTTAGCAATTAAGGGGAAAGTTCTAACTTTTGAAAGCTATTTAGCTGTGCTTTACTGTAATAATGTTTATTATTATTACCATTATTATTATTATTATTATTATTATTATTATTATTATTATTATTATTATTATTATTATTATTATTATTATTATTATTACTGTATTATTCGCTGCACTCGGTGTGTACTATCAAGAACTTGGGTCGATGTTCTTCCTAAGGCTCTGGCTTGGTTAATTAGTTGTATTTATTCTTTTTCAATGGAAGCAGGCCTTTGATGGGTATCATTGGAACACCGAAGCCTCATTTCTCCGTCTAGAAAGTCAATTGCAGTGTTATAACGATGCCTATAAATACTCGTTTTATCTAGAATGATAGGTCAGTTGCAATAATATACACACCTTCCACAGTCCCCACCTTGACTGAACATTGAATGCTTTATGAAGCGATTGAACCTACCTATTCATTATGGTCTTGAACATGTTTAGCATTTTTCTTATTTTTCTTATCTCTCTTGTGAAATTTAATTTGTTATTACATCAAAATCTATTCTTTTGTTCTTACATAGCTTGTATTTATACCTCATGTAATCCACCTAGTTCAGTGATTCATACCATGTCCTAAGAGTAGATTGAGTAAACCTTATACTCTACAAGGTGGTTCTAACAAATCAACTGAACAGTAATTTACTGCGGTACTATTTATCATACAATATAAACAGATTCAAATTTTGGAACTGTGGACAAGACAATTTAAATAACACCTCTTCAGTGGTGTTGATAAATAGAACATAGGAACATGCACGCAGTACGTGCCTAACGTTCCCTTGATACTTCATGATGCTACTCTAACGACCATGTGCTTTTGTAATGGCAGTTTATACTCCACAATTAATGTTGTGTTCAATCCTTGGCGTGTTCCTTGCCCTCGGCTCTAACAAATCAACAAGCAGTACCTTTGGATGGTTCTGTTTATTATACTAGCCGTTATACAAACGTTTGCCTTTCTGGACGAATCGAAGACCCATGATCGCTTAAATGAAAAAGCCTCGGCAAATTTTAGTAACATTTTTTATGGGTACCTTACAACGTGTATACATGGAGAAAACATCCTCCCAAACGAGTCAACTTTAGCGATCTATCATTTATATCAGAAAAAAGTTGTCCGAGCCAACAGCGTTCGTGCATGCTCTGCACGTGATCTGATTGTCTCACCTTCAACGAGTTGACCCGGAAGGGGAAACAAAATTGTTAATATGGAGAAAGGTTGGACTGACTAGGAGGGTGACCCTACCATGATAAAAAGGGTTAACTGGCTAGGCGGGTCAACTTTACGCCAAGTTTTGTGAGGAAATGAAGGAAAAGTTGGCTCGCCCAGGGTAGCTAGGCGGATGACCCTTCTACCATGGACAACGTTTCTCCATATAAAGGGGGCCTTTAGGTTTCCGCTAATTTTTCGGAGTGAAAAATTATTTTTATGACAGTGTACATACCGGTCTAGTGTCCGGTACTTCTTCACTCAAGCTGCGACCTCTTGGTCTTGCTCTGAAGAGAAGAAAGGTTGTAAGGTAGAAATGTTTGATTCTGTCAACTTATGAAACCTCTATTCAGCAAATGTTGTTTGGTTTTCGGGTAGCCTGAGAAAACACCGGCATTTCACGACGCTACCACTCAAATCGCGGGGTAAAATAGTAGACTTGCTGCAAGTCGATCTCACGAGTTTCTTAGCGAGTGGAGCGAGGTTTTTAGGGCGCGAGGCGGCGAGCGACGAAGTCGCGAAATCGGGCGAGGGACTTTTTTGAAAGTCTAGAAAACCAGTGGTTGTGTCGCGAAATGTCTGCTAGTTTTTTGGGCCCTGTTTATTCAACGTTATCCACTGGATAATACAATGAACACGGTCTGTGAAATGGCAAATTTCTCGGAGGTCCCCATGGACTACCTCCTATAAGCGACCACTTATTATCAAAATACAAAAAGTTGAAAATTCTCGCGAACGACTACCAAGCTCTGCCAATTGAGCGAGGGACATGTATGCAAAGAATGTTCTTTCAAAAATCAGATGTGTACTTATTTTCAATGATAAGCGAGATTCACGCCTGGCATGTCCAGCACTTTCTCTACAATTAATTCCATGACCGTAACAGTCTTCACCTAATTAATTATATTTTGCAGACCTCCAGGAAACACATAACGCAACTGAAATAGAAGTATCCCAACTGTGCGCCTCCTTCTTCGTCCCATTATCTTCTACGAGGAACCTACGGACGTTTGGACGATCTTTTAATGGCCATCTTATCTTTCAGTTTCAAGAATGTTCAGTCATAGAACAATTAACTCACCTCAAGTGCTTAGGAATAACTGACGCATACTCAGGGCCGCTGTTACTGAAAAAGAAGTTGCATAGTTACATTGGAAGGTTGTTTAGGACCTGTTTACATGGAGGTGGGGACCTCAGGTAGGTGAGGCAACCCGCTAAGCTGGGGGAACCCGCCTGTCCATATAATCTCTCATTTTGATTTGATCACGTTTACATGATAAGTGGGGGTGACCCCGCCACATGTAACCCCACCTCCCTTCATGGGGTCTCTCGCCCTAAGTTGTACTCAAGATTCAAGCGTTTGTTTTTTTTGGTATCAACATTCCACGCCTCCACAATTAGCACTTACGGCTGAACGCATAAAATAACAAAACTTTTCGAGGAAAAAACTGTATAACTCTGTTCTGGGCATTAATGACAAGAGTGGCACGAGAAAAGAGGTGATCCGAAAAAAAAAAAACAGTTGAGGTGCTGCGAGGGAAGGTGGGTGCTCAAAACACCTTCTCAGAAACCTGAAAATAAAATTATAGGGTTAATTCAGATAAATTACAGTTGAAACAAAAACAAAAATCAGCTGAACATAATGTTGGTCTGTAGAACTAAGGCAAGTAATCAGCAGGTGGTCGAACATTGTGAATTCACTTTACCGAACTGTACATTGGAAAGCAACTGTGGGAAATCTCAGTATCGTTATTAAATACATGTTCTACTAAAAGAGCAATCATCACACAGAGTAATAGACTCGATTAATACCCAGACGCTGTTCCTTCGCCTGCAAGAACTATGTTAAATTTCAAATATATGTACTGTGTTCAGTTCGTTAGGGGAATAAAAATAGTTGAGTTCATTGTTGAATGCTAGAAAAGTTCTTATGTTTCACTCGGATTATATTCATACTGCGTGGCTGTGTCAAACCTATGTCCCTGGTTAAACTCGCCCCATTGTTCACAGAATAGCACCAACTTCTCCACTTTATTGACATTACGGAGCTTAAGCAACAACGACGGCTACGGGTACTAAGCGACACTTAAAAGGTTAATTCACGCTGCTTCAAACTTTACCGCGCAAATTCCATCTCGTTCAATCAGTCAAATGATGCCAACTTTTTTGCTGGAACTGAATTCTAAAGGATTGTATCGACGTTCAAGAAAAGAAAAACAAAGTCGTTCTCTTGTGTTTATGCTCTCCCCAAAATGTGAAGTTAGGCATTTTCACGTCGTAGTCGTGCAGTGACGGCAAAGAAGTGTACAAAAAAGCGTGATGCATGTGCAAAGTTGTTGTTTTGCGTATCAAAACCTACTGCTTTGTTGCCGTTCTCGTTGACGTCGCCGTCGTCGTTGCTTAAGCTCCCTAATGACAGTCTGCAACCGCAGTTCCAAAGATAAACATTTGAACGAACTTACTACTCCGCGATAATTGCTAGGTAGATTACTTATTCATTCCTTACTTGACATCTTGAAAGTTAAACTGATGATTTCTGTTCGCTATTGGCTGACTAGGTAGTACCTCCACTGTCGCATATTCCAAAGCATCTGTTTGCAAGGATCAAAGAATAGGCTGATCATTAAGAACACTTTTTTCGTGAGTGTGGGAGGGGAGGGGAGGGGTGGGGCGGGGGGAGAAGAGAGGCGGATCGTTTCTTGGCATCGTTTCTCAAATGTTCTGACAAAGGGCCACTTAAACATAGCCCCCCAAGGCTCTGTCCACACGTATCAGGATATTTTTGAAAACGGAGAGACCCGTCTACACGTAGGGTATTTGAATCGTTTTCGCCCGTCCACATGAAAATGCTAAAAGCTAAAACGATGGAAATACGAAGGAAATACGATAGCATCCCTTATAGTGCATGCGTAATGCTAGTAATATATGATGTATGATGATGTATGACATCATCGTATTCGAAAATCTCGGTTTTCGTCCGTCCACACGTAAACGAGAGTCTGGCGTTTTCGAAAACCTCCACTCAGAGGACCGTTTTAGAAAACCTGCGTTTTTTGGTCTTCGAAAAGGCCGTTCATATGTAAAGGCTAAAACGGAGGGAAAAAAATCTCCGTTGTCAAAAACCCTGGATACGCGTGGAATGTGCCTAAAACTCCCTTAGGGGTCTAACAAGCAAAACAACGACTCTGCTCGTGCAACACACTTTTTCGTACAAAATGGTTCGGAAGGTGATTTTTATCATGTACGGTTACTGTAGCTTAAGGGGGCAGTCTGGTTGAAAGCACTGTTTTTCGTTTGTTTCCGCCCTTTATATTAAATATCTACCCAAGATTTCATTCAATGAAAAAATGACTCAACTAAGTTGGAGTCCTCGGTTGGAGAATTTTTTGGATGCTTTTTCGAATGTTCTTAATGAATAAAAATTACGGGAGGTGTTTAAAATTTTGAAAAATTTGAAAAATATTGGATTTGGCAGAACCATACTTATATGCTTCTGATTTGGGGTTGTTAAAAATTAAAATATGAAGCAGAGAAACGACCACAACAAAGTGCCTCTGATCCCATTAGCGGACTAACTGTCTGGTATATGTGTATACCTTTTCTACCCTAATTTATTTCCTTCTTAAATCAACGTCATTTCCCTCCCCAAAAAACACCCAGACTGACCCCCTTTCATGAATTAAGAACAAAATAAATTGATAACAAGATTGGTTAAACTCACAAGGGGTGGACTGTGAACGCATAACTCGTTGCCTTCTGTCATCGACAGGTTCGGTTAAATCCTTCTTTGTTTTACTTGAGTCTCTGAAAATAAAGTTTAAATATTTAGAGATACGTGATCTCACGTAAGAAAGCTAATTCACATAACGACCTGAAACATTACCTGAACCCCTCCCCGCCAGCCCGACCGACCTCCGGATCCAATAACTCGAACCTTCGCGAACTCGAACCTCGCGCTGACTCGAACCAAAATCGATTTCCCCTCGATCTCCGTCATACATTTACTGTAATTTTACCCTTTGTAACTCGAACCTCCCGCTAACTCAAAGTAGTTTTTGTTTCCCCTTAGATCATTTGTTTATAATTTTACCCTTGATAACTCGAACCATCTTTTGAGCCCTTAAAAAGTCGGGAAAAAAGCCTTCTACTGGCGTCCCAAACACTGAATTTTGAATTTCCCATTGACGTGTTGTACGCATATAGTTTACTGTTGGAGGCCGGTGTTGTTTGTCACAAATCTAACGTGAAACAGCTTTACTTCTCAAAACAGTAAAACGGATGCTCTCTTTAAGCAAGGTTTTGTTATGTTACGTTCTGATTTATAATCTAGAAGTATCTTTTACTCAACACTTGACATTTCTACAATTAAATGTGATTAAAATGTTCACTGTGCAGTAAAAACTTTTTTTCCCCTTACTCCCGGCTATTTTTTTCGAGCTCCCGATAACTCGAACCTTTTTCGATTTCCCTTGAAGGTTCGAATTATCGGGAGTCGAATGTAGATTGCAGTGTATCAATCTCGGATATCATCAATGTTCTAGCCAAGAGTGTAGATCGTTGCCGTATCGTCAGCAAACAGATACAACTCTCCATTAGATATTGATTCAGCAAGATCATTAACAAATATTGAGAAAAACGTTGGCCCTAACATTGAACCTTGAGGAACCACAAACTTGACCCGTTTACGATTTCTTTCGGGGTTTTCCCTTGTGGTGTGGCATGCAGTTCTGACAGTGATGCATTCAATAAAAGGAGAACAGTGATTTCACAGGATTGTAGCCAGGCTTTTGCTCAGTACAGGTACCCATAGTTTTCTAAATCCATCCTTAAAGGCCTCTTCCCCCAATTGTTTTCACTTGGGTGATTTATCAAGGTGGCTCCGTTAATAAAAAAAGGCACATTAAACTATGACGAACTTTTTGTTATAGCTTTTTCGGTTTTACGCGATGGGTACGAAACTTTTGGAAGAACTACAACTATCATTAGCAAAGATAAACAAAGACGCCTCTACATGACGAACACCTGACTGTCCCTTTTGTGTACGTATCAAGAAAGATTGCTTTTGATTATTTTTCTTTTCGTCTCTCTCCCTCTCTTGTGATTCTAAAGTGGAGAGTTTATTTGCAAGTTATGTTAATCTAGGAACGACATTCCATGATGTCGTCTTTAGTCCCTGGGTTGAGTTTCTGCTCTGTGAAGTTACCATCAGAAGCAGTAGTCACCGACCAAAACAATAAAATAAGTATAGTTAATTCCAAACCTTCTTGGAGGAGGAGACCGAATACTTGCGTATATTCCATGGCTGATACTGGAATACGAAGAACCCTTAAAAGAGAAAAGTCATGAGATGCTATTAGAAAGAGTCAGTTAGGTAGAAACCTAAAATCGTTAAAAAACAACAACAACATCGAGACAACTACGACTGATTTGCGTCTTTTAGACCAAATCAGTTTAACTATCCTCTTTGTCAAGGACGAGGAGTAAGGAAAGTGAGCGAACGAACAACGCCTGCCGCGTGAGAAAAACTGCGCGCTCGAAAAAAGACTTGGCGCGAGATTTTTTAGTTTTCTTTCATGCAGCGTTCGCTCTGCTTTCGCTGTAAAAAAATGAGACTTCTAATGGCCTACCAACTCGGAGTCGGAATCACTTATACATCTAACTTAATTAGTATTTCCTTTTAGCATACTGTACCTGACTTCACATTTTACTTCATTTTACGTTTAGCGGATCTAGATAACACCTCCAAAATGATCTGACTACCGAATCTAGTCGAGTGCTTACCATTGATAGGTCTAGTCGGTCAGGCTGCGACCGATTTTGTAACCGGTCGGTTGGAAAAACCGGCTCAGCAAGCTGAACCGGTCCCTGCTCTTGAAGTAGAAGCTGTAGCCAGTTTTCCTGTTCCAATGTGGAATGTAGAAAGCGTCGGAAATTATTTGAAGAGTAGCTGTCAACCTGTGCAACAACAAGCTGATATCACCTTGTAGTTCTAGATTTTTTTTGTTCGGCTTGGACAAAAAATAGGCAAGTACTGAAAGAACGAATAAAATTAAACATAGCCAGTTCTACGAGTTGTAGATATGAGCCTTATAACATATAAAGGCTGAGAAATGAAAAATATATAACTGCATGCCAAGTATGAAACGATCATGAAATTTGCTGTAATTATGCTTAGTGAAAACAACTTCGCCTTTTGATAGCAGGGACTTGTTCAGCTTCCTTTACGCCACTTTATCAGCGATATTGATATCGGTTTTGTCCAAGCCGATTTTTTTGACACGCGAAGAAAACTACAAGATCTTTGTCTTTACGTAATGTTGTTGCTTAAATGGCAGCAGCTTTGTGGGTCTTAAGGACTGGCTATCCGCCTTACGTTCAAGAACAGGGACGAGAAAACCTTGCCAGACCGATATATGATTTTACCAGGTATATGCGTTTTTAAATAACTCCCAATGTAACGTAACGTAGCCTGAATTTCAGACTGTCTGAGATGGCTACCTTGCTCCCTGCGACGTTTTGGAATCAGACGAGGCTTTCGAAACGTTAACTTTTGAATGTCAAGCACTAAACAATTGACTGGATCAGGTCACTTTTTTGTTTTCACCGAACCAAAAAGTGCTTTCATTCGTTTTCTCTTTTTTTCTGTGGTGCCGTTGTGTTATTTTGATGTACAGCTCCCTGGTTGTGGAGGAGTTCCAAATCCTCTTTCCTTCGATGCTGTTAATGTTAGGGGAACTGTTTTCAACAATATCCGTATGCATGTCACTCACCCTTTGTCTTTGTTCTTCTGTCATTAACGAATCAGTAAAATCGTCCAGCCTTGGCTTCGGAGTCAGGTTAGATCCCGGTGTGAGACCAACTTCTCCTCTCAATCTGATTATCAATTAAAGTTTTAATAGTGATACCAGACTGAACTCCTATTGACTATTTTCGAATCCCAAATAATACTCTCTGTTTTCCCCTCCCCCCCGCCTCCTGAATTTTGCGTAAGTTATTGTTTTCAAAATGATACTCTTGGGAATATGCAGTCCTGACAGGAGCATTTGAAAACAGTCCTTCACGTCCTTCTTGACGCGAAACTCTCAAATTTCTGTGGTTTTTGCTTAACGTATCATTTTCTCACATGTGAAAAAATACCGTTCGCAATTCTACTGGATGTGTCATTCTTCTCACGTGTGAAAAACATCGTTCGCTCCTCTGATTGGCTAGAACTCATTTATATATGAAAATTTACGACACAGCTTTTCATTGAGTATATCTGGAGTATACATATGATAAAAGAGAGTGAAGGCTTCGCCGAAATGATACCTTATTTTCCACCAGCCAAAGTTACTGGTGGCGAGAACTTCCACTTCTTCGCCACCTCTGTATGACAACTCATCTTCACTCTTTGCATTGTACGACTCAAGAGCTACCCAGTATCCTGATAAGAGAAAGAAAAAAAATTATACAGGGCTGTTAAACTTTCGATGAGCAGTAAAGAGGGAAAGACTGGATACCACGGTCAGGTGAAAGTTTGTCCTACGGCCTTTTGTTCATTCCTTATGTCGTTCATTTGTGCGTCACCAAATGCACTTTATTTGAGTGTCAATGTATTTAGCACATTTTACATGCTCATCCGAGCCACACGAAGATCTAGTCGTTTGCAGGGCAACGCAGTACCTTAATTTCTCGGATAATTTTAGACCCTGAGTATTGGTCCCGTCCCCGAAATCGAATACGCGACCTCCCGCTGTATAGTCAAGCAAAGAAATCATTTAATGTGGTAAGGATATACTCTTGATAATACTTTGTAAAAAAGCCATGCATAAGAAAGGGTCTCTAAGCGAGAAAAAGAAAAAAAAATCAAGACATGTTATCGACATCTAAGAGCACTTTACTACTTACGATCATCTTCTTCAACTTCTCTCCATTCCTCCTCTTCCAAACGGTGATAAGTATCCATTGGTTCAAGAAAGGTTGCTGGAGCAAAGCCATGATCACCCCTGGAATTTGCCACAAGCCACCATCCTAAATCAGAGGGCGATCAGAGATTAAAGCTCCGTCCACACATATCAGGATATTTTTGAATCCGCAACTTTTTCTTTCCGGAATGGGCTTCCGTGCCACACGTATCCGGTGAATCCGGCATGCGAATCCGCAACTTTTTGAATCTGCGTTTCAGAGTGGACATTTTTGAATACGCTATGAATCCGGAATCAGATGGACGCTAAATCCGGTTTTTTCTTTATCCGTTGACGTAACAAGATTGAGCCCAATTCTTTACCGTGAATACCTTATTCAAGATGACAACCTCCTTCCCAGGTTCTCTCAAAGCAGAGCAAAATGTAAATTTCGCGCGCTTTGCGATGCACGCTCTTTTCCCAGAGGAGTCGGGAAAATTCGATTTTAATACGGATACGTGTGGACGTGGAAATTTTTAATCTGGAAAGAAAAAGTTGCGGATTCAAATTCAAATATCCGGATACGTGTGAACGGGGCCTAAAAAAAGGATTTCCAAAACAGCAAGCTTTCACAGATGAGGGAAGAAACAACTAAAAAGACATACAGCTGATTCAATTAAGGTTGCTTCGGGCATTATTAATTGCACAAACCGTGGTGGTCACTCAAGCAAATCATTACATTGTTCTGTATGACCAAATACCCGATCACCAATGACCAATTGTCAAAGCAACCTTTATTGAATTAGGTATTATATTTTACGGTTTTCATAATATTTGGCAGGTGGCGGGGTTTGAAATATCAATTAATGTTCAAGAATATTTTAGTAGGTGACAGCGGTGAGGATGGAGTTGTCAACCAGGTTACGGCAGGTTTGCACTGAATCCCAAGTGCATCAGGCTATCTAAGGCCCGTTTCAAACGTCGTGCTATTGCCGTGCCGAACTAAATTGATCGAACTGAATTCGACTTTAGCATGGCAGTAGCGCGACGCTTGAAACCAAGTCGGGCTACTTGCGTGTAGCACGGCAAGCTTTGCCGTGCTACACGGCAGTAGAAACCGTTTCTTTAATTTTGTGTTTTGTTTTCGGCAACAGCCGTTCTATTCGACTGAATTAAATTCGACGTCTGAAACCAAGTCGTGCTAGTGTCGTGCTGCAGCCGAGCTACAGTCGAGCCAGCTTAGTAGGGAGCTTACGAATCGACGACTTTCGCGCGACGCCGCCGCTGGGTCACGTCATAGTTCTACGTTGCCGTCCTGTAGAAATTTGAATTTACGATTCGTAGAAGACGACGACGTTGGTGCGCGCGGGAGGCAAATTTTCCCGCCGTTTCTGAAGTTTGCTTTCTTCTATTCACAAGTAAGCTTATTTGTTCAACAAAAATGTCTAAATTCATAAGAGAAACGAGAGCTCGTTTGCAGACGCCTTTGGAAACAGATTTATAAAGGACCGAGTATTTCACTGTATTTGTAATTTTATGGGTTTCGTCAACAAACTCAGAGTTAACTACGGATTTAGACAAGACAACAAAGGACGAATGCAAGGCGCGTTTACATACAGCGAGGGCATTTACAAACTTGCTGAACAGCTGTACGTAGTTACTTTGATGAGATAACCACTTGCAATGGTCTAGTTGTAGCTTTGGTACCATTTTGCCAATATGGTTTCACTCGGTGTTAATTTATGTTTGTCTACAGCAAGCTATGGTGTTGATTCTTCGGGTCGTTACTCCAACGAAAACAGACAAACAAATCGAAAACATATCTAAAGAACATGTCCCTAATGTGATACTTGAATTATCTGGAAAAATCCGCTGGAGTATGTAGGGGAAACTTTGAAAATTAGTCTCACGTCCTGCTTTTTCTAGGACGCCGGCGAATCGCTGTCAACAACGGCGTCGACTTTGGCGCGAGGCCGGCAAGTGCCCAGATAAGCATGCGCAGTAAGCCTATCACGCAGTCCAACGGCGTCGTCGTGCGAAAGTCGTCAATTCGTAAGCTCCCTAGTAACAGTAGTAGCACGACGTTTGAAACAGGCCTAAGCTGCCGGTGCTGTCAAGTTACGTTATGGCTCTTCACCGCCGCCCAAGGTGAGGTAATCCGGACTCCGAATCCGGGAAATTTTTCTTGTGGAATCGGAATCCTTGGATTTGGAGTCAGGTATCCACCTCAAGGAATCCATAATTCTGCTAACCATTGGAATCCGGAATCCTAGTTCCACTGACAACGGCATCCGGAATCCGAGACTGTCTTGGATTACCCGCCTAAAGGATCCTCAAGGTTATGTTACACGAAACGATTTGCAACGACGATTTTTAGCGTAACAGAGCGTTACAACATTGTTGCGACATCGTTTCGAAAGGCTGCAACATTGTTCCAACATTTGAACCCTGTGTTGCGCCAAAAATCGTCGTTGAAAATCGTCTCGTGTGACATCACCATTACGTGGGTTGATGACGGATTGAGCCGTCAAATAATAATGACAAACAAATGGGTTGGAAAAAATTGAAAAAAAAGTTGTTGTATTCTTAAGCTTGGAATTAAATGTTCCCCTAAAGCTGATTCCTTGCATCGCACAGTAGTCATCACTGCTAGAAGGACAATGAATTTTATGTTTCAACAGATTTATTCCTTCTACAAAATAATTAAGTCCAGCATGTTTCAAACCTGTGCTATTTTTTTCAATGACTGTCACCACCTCGTTTTCTTTTAAGCTCATTTCTCCCCTGCCGCTGCCACTAAATTCTGCCACTGAATAATATTTTTCCACAACTTGTTCATCATTTCTCGTGGGAGAAGTTTGTGGCTTGCTAAAAAATAAAAAAACATGAATTAATTTAGCTAACATTTCTTGTTTTATGAACGGTGCCTAAAAATTCATCTGTATTCTAACAGAAGCAGCGTGATCCACGACTTACCAAGGGCGCGATCCATTCAACCAACATTCAGACCGGTCCGACCGGGAAAAGAGGACCACCTAAAAAGGTGGACCTGTTTTTTCGAAACTTTTCCGGTTGGACCGAACCGATCCATTGAGTTTTGGACCGAAATTTCCGGAAACTTTGGTTGAATGGATCGCGCCCCAATAGGCCATTTCCGAGTTCCAAAAAACTCTCATTCTCAAAACGAGGCTAAGTGAAAAAACATTCTTGTACAAATAAGTTTTATTTGCAACCCCATCCCCCCCCTCCCCACCCACCGGGGCATTCTCAACAACGTTTTATATGGAGAGGCTCTGCCCAGAGGTCCAACCAATAATTAGACCCTTTATATGCCATTTTTGACAGAGAAGGTAACTCTTCTGTATACCTTCTATAGACAAACAGTAACCTTTTCACATACCTAGATCAGACCTTTGCATCCCTTTAAATGCTGTTCATGTACTGTCTTCAAAATATAAATAAATCCCCAAACCAGAATATTATCTCGACTTTTTCACAGCCACAGATTGCATTTGTTAGTCCTTTTGGGCCTCTTTACAGACCAAAAAGACAGTTTTTCCTACCCTTTCATATCCTTCAACGAGTGAAATCCCTACCTTTTCTCATACCTGAAGCCTGAAAAAGGGACGACTTTTGGGCGGCGCCTCCCTGTATAGGCCATTAGAGGGAGTAACAACCCCCAGGTTTGCAGGGGAATAAAAGAACCTTTTTATATCTATAGCTTTTGCACTTAGCCTCGCTTTGAAACAAAGGCTTGGAACAACTCTAAAATGGCCTATTGATTATGAAAGGTGGAAAACATCAAAGATATAAACTGTGGTGCTGCAGTTTATGTTGGAAGCTCACTGGTGGGAAAGATATTGAACATTGTGCACCGTAAAGTCCACAAAAGCATATAACAAAGGTATCTGGCCCCCTTCATTGTTGACATGCTCCTTGACATTTAGAACTGCATGCATGAGTGCTTATTTTACATTTCTAATGGTTAAGAGAGGTACGGGCAAGTTAAAAAAACACTTCATGGATGAAAAACTGCCATAAAAATAGTCTTACTTTCTTTCAATGTCATTCCTTAACATGCCAGCATGGTCTGTTCCCCATCGACTGAAGAAAGCCAAGACAATATCAGACTGGGACACAACATAGGGCAAATGGATAACTCTCTGGAAAAAAAAAAAATTGAATTAAAAGAACTTGTCAGGATGCAAAAAATTGGAAATGACACTTCTATAGAGGGAAGTGTGACATCACATTACCATGGTAGCAAAATCTGGATCACAACAATGGTGACCTTAAGCAATGATGGTGGCAATGCATGGCAAAGAGAACCGCAAAAAAGCAATAAGTTTATGTTAGCAAAACAACAACTTCACACGTGCAGCAAGCTTTTTGTACATTTCTTATTGAGTGATGCTTTCGGTTTGTTGTGACCCAGAAATTTTGCTACTGTGGCAATGTGACATAATGACTTCTCAACTCTATTAAGCAGCCACCTCATCAAGTGGCCACGGTCACCTTTTGGCCACATCCCAACAAGAGGTGTTTTTTATGTCACCTTTGTTAAGCCACCATCAAATACTTGATACACTTAGTTTCACTTCATATTAAAAATATTATGAAGCAAAATACAATCCGAGGTAGAAGGTGACGCATGATTGTCAGGGGCGTGGTGTGAGCTTTTGAAGGTCACACATGCAGGAAGAGTGTTAGAGTACGGAAGGCACGGGGACATATTCCGGTAGAAATTTTTTAAATTTAGGCTCTTGGAAATGCCATTTCTTATTTTTTCCAGGGAACGTTTTCATTAAATTACCTATCACTCGTGTTATCAGCATTAGGTACATTAATGTTTGTAGAAAAAAAGATATTCTAAAATTTAGTGATGCTATCAAAGAGGTTACAAGCAAAGGGAAAGACTTCTTCCGTTCAAATGGGCAAACTATTAAACATCAACGTCCTTATGCTAGTCATGTATGTGCAGAATTGCAAGAGAGTTCAATCTCTCATCAGTCACCCCACTATAATGTTTTTTGCAGTCAGCTGATAGAATAATAATGGATAAAGGAAATACTAACACAGACTAATTTTATCCAAAAGATTTATCAGTCATCCCAATTTAAAACTAAAAATGCTTTCAAAACAGAAAAAAATATATAATTTTCCCAGATTTCGGCTGTATATACACCGGCATATATGTGCAGATATGGATGCTACAGTCCTGATTGTGTGCTAGTCATGATACCGCTTCCACTTGATGTTTGTTGTTTTGTGATAATTAAGTCCAATGTTTCTGCTAAAGATTATTGGACTGCCACCCTTCATTAAGTGAAAACTTGTTGTTACACCAAGGGTGCTTGCCACATAAAGGAGGCTCACAACTGTATATATTAATTTAGTTTTTGGAGGCTCTGTGAAATAGCATGGCCCCACAGTGACCAGAAGGACGCTTACCACACTGCTAACATTGCCTCAAAGGAACAAAGTGGATATGGTACTGCATGATCTTGGCAAAAGATTAATAAGACAAATAAAGTTACATGATAATTGCTGATTACAATGCTATGAATATATTATTGAAATTTCAATTAATTTTCTTAATTTTTCATAGTTACCTGGCAAAATTCTTCAACATTTTTACACTGTTTCTTTGAAAATGCTCCAAACAACATCCCACCAGCAAATCGAGTAACTGTTCAGTGTGAAAAGACAAAATTACTGATAAACCTGCATGTTTGACATGTTAAACTGGCAGCTAGCATTGAAAGAGACTCTGAATGCACATGGATATTAACTTTACATGTGGTGCTTAATGTATTATATACAATATAGAATCAAAATAAATTATCATTGATCTGGTGTTTTTGATGGTTTGTAGACAGCATTTATTATATTGTGGTAAAATACATATTATATATAATGGAAATTATACAACAAATAATTTTGTTCTGGCAACTCATGCATCAGACCAATACTTATAAGGGTTCGACCCAAACAATAATTCTGCTTTAGTGTCAAAATGATTTGCTAGTGCAATAAAAGCAAATGTGGCTAAACTAGAATTGTACCCAACTGTTAAACTTAGCTAGTATAGCAGTTGTGGTATTCCTGTCTGCCATAAAATTACTATATCCTATAGGTACAAAACACATGACATTACAAAATCTCTCGTGCTAAAAAACTACTTTACTGCTGTAATAGTCCTGCATCCCAACATGACGCCATCCTTTGTGATTCAACTGATCCACCCCATAAATCTTAGGACAACTTTAATAAATAGATACAAAAACTAATGGAATGGAATTAAAACACCAGCATGTAATATTAAATTTACAGGCAAACAAATCTCATAAGCCATCTTGTAAAGGCTGTTGGACTCATGCATTTATGTTATTAAAGACAAATGAGGACTCCTGCTCTTTTTTGTCTTTTCGTCATCCTCCATAACTGTATCATATAATATATGAGTTCAAATTTGTGTAATCTTCTTACCAGGTAGTTCTGGAATTGTAAGACCACTGTTTTGCCTTTCCTGAAATAGATTTTTCAAGCCAGCCTGGAAACAAAAGGAAATTACACGTAGGTGAATACAGACATCCCTCAAAATATTTACATTGCTTGAAAATGCAACATAACACAACCAAATGGCATTTCTTGCAACGCAATAACTTTTCAGCAGTATTTCGGATTGCATTTCTGTTGATTTGTTTTGTCAGTTATCAGCTCTTAGCACTGTCAACTGTCACCGCACCTTCAAAAAAACATTTACAGTTTAATTTTTTTTTTGCTCTACTAATTATTTATTTATTCAATTGCTCCTTTGACCACTCTGCACTTTTCCAATGCAATACGTCTCAATGTAACATGGTAAGCTAGCCCTAATTTTTTGTACTACTGCATTCAGTGTACTTTTGAATAAGTGTAATAAAATGAACTTGAACTTGAATTTCTTAATAATTTGGTGATCTTTTCATACGGCACCTTGAAAATCAGGGATATCTGAATAGCTTAATTTGTGATAAACCAGTCTAAAAAGAGTGGGATTAGAACTCTGCACCTACTTCCAGATTCTGACAGGATCCAGGTGTCTGCAGAAGGGGGGGGGGGGGGGAAGGGGGAAGGGGGAAGTCTTAAAAAAAAAAAGAGAAAAAGTTTCAGGAAAAGAGGTAAAAAAATTTGAAAGCCACAAATTTTTTTCCACAACAAAACTTTTAATTTTAGAACATTTTCAAACCACTAAAATGTTTGTTTTTNATTTTAAGTTGCAACCCACAATTTTTTTGCATTAAGCAGATCATGTGACTGAAGGCTGCACAAGGACCTATTTTCCTTGGAGGAGTTTGGGGGGGCTCCCCAGGGGCATCCCCAGGGAAAATGCCTTGAAAGGTGCATAATATATAATTCACTAAGATTTAAATTCCTTTTGAGCACCAGGGAAAGAATTTCAGCCATGAAGATCAAGCACCTTAATTTAAATACATTTGCTTTATTTTATATATCATATGTTTGTTTTAAAACAAGTAGGTATTGCAAAACAAATACGGCAGATTTATTTTCCTCATTATTTTCTCCTTCTTATAAATTATTTTCTGAGAGTAATAATAAGGCCTTATATACTGCGCTATAAATTCCGTTATGACAAAAGACGGCATTATTTTTGCCGGTTGACAAGTTTTCAGAGAAACGGCGGCAGTTTTCACTATGTAAGAAGTCGTGGAAGAGTTTGTCCCCTCCGACCTTCAGACTTGTTTTCAAACACTTGAAAATTAATCTGAAACTGTTTTTAAGACATAGCATAGGAAGATAATTATGTTATATTATCGCTTAATATGAAATTACCTGGAATAAAAATCGAATTATGTTAAGACCGATTTGTTTACTTTGCATCACTTGATAACTGAATTATCAATAGAAGGAATTTGACATAACCAATCGAGATAAAAACACCCCTTTCGACGTTTTTTACCTTTGTTTTAAACTGATATATTCAACTTTCTACAAAAGCAATTAACCTTTTCACGAAGAATCGATGGAGAGCTGTCGAACATGTAAAATTAAGCTTAATTGTTATGTCTTTAAACTGTAGAACAATGGTGTACTCGGGGTGTCGAGGGTAAGGTCTAAATGGAAAACTAAAAAAGCAATTCTCTTGCAGATTAGACTATAAAGCTTTTGATGCCATGTAAGGATTAGCTTGAAAACAATTGACATTTCAATTGAACTTGTATCCGTACAACGTTAACGATTTGTTATTTTGCAAAGGATTAACACTTTTTTTTACACCAAACGGGTTTACCATATATGTTTTAGGGTTGTACGTCGTAATTAGCACGATTCTTATCATTTTCCAATCGATGATTTTACACCTACTAGGCCCAATATCACGCCTTCATTCCATTTCAAGCATCGACGCCTAGCGAGTCATTTGAATAGTTTGCTGTGCACTTTGCTAATTGTTATTATTTCTTGTGTCAACAAAAACCCCAGGAATAAAACGAGGAAATAAAGGCCGCAATGTGGTGTTCTATAGGAGTGAAATCTAGATTATGTTATTGAATTACGCTCTCTCACCTGTAAATCAAAGAACATACTGTATCGCCGGAATATGTTATATTGGTTTTCGTCCGACCACGTAACTTTCAGTTCGTATTCCTAGAATTATAGGCGTAAAATAGAGACAAAAGTATCAAATTTTGCTCCTGGAATTATTTTCAAATTATTAAGAATATACTATAAAACATGGCCGGTAAACTGCCGGTAAACAAACAAAAATAACACGTGAAATCTTACGCACATAATTCTTTGCAGAGCCTGAATCCTTGGTCTTGCGTTTCTCGACATCAACAACTTTCACGTCCGTGATAGCTCCCTTCTCGTTCGTGGGTGATTGTCTCATGGCGACGAAACTTAGTGATTCCTCTTATTTTCGAGCTCAAGCTTTGTTTAAGATATCCATTGTCCTTAACACTGGACCTCATTCATTTAACAGCGCACCATCGGTTCTATTCGTGCGCGTGACCTCGGTCAACCTGGAGGGCGGAAGTTAAATGAACCCAGTAAATATTTCATCTTTCTTGAAGCTCAATACTGGGAAATATATGGTTAAGTCAAATGGTGTAAACACAAACCTAATTTAGCTCACCTAAATCTTAGAAATAAATCAACTAGCCTGGATCTTTCTTTCTTCTTCAGTAATAAAGCCGATCGAGGAAGAAATTGCAACAGGGTTAGAAACGCGGCGATCGTGACGTGACGTCACGACGACAGTACGTGTGTTTTCTTTTTCACTACGTCAGACTGCAATATTGGACTGTTAATTTAGGATTGGAATGTAATGCAAATGAATTTTTTCCCTTTTTTTGGCAATTTAGTTACGCGACAAATCACCTTTTAGGGTAACGGATGATAAGGGCAAACAAAAAAGCTTAACAAACTGCCTAGATCAAACATAAAACGGATAATTATTATTTACTTTAAGGCAACTCGTCGGCATAGCTACCTTTATTCGGGGCATTTAAATATTTTAAGAACTTATCAGTGCGGTTAAAACAAAAAATAGTAAAAAGTGTAAGCCCTTACAACTTCTTCAATGTTTACGTCACGCTGATCATTCTCGACAAAGTCAGGAGTAATCGGCTCTTTGACGAAGTAAATACTGCTCCTCCCCACCCCCCACCCCAAGCAAGGGGGGTAATACTGACTGCCCAGTATAATCGAAGTGTAATCGGCATTTAAAATTACTTTCTAATTTTATCCAGTAAGCATTTGTTTTGGCGGGACTATTCTGGAGACCTCAAGAGTAATTTCTGATAACTGATAGCAACTCTAGAATAGGGGGAGGGGGGGGGGGATTTTGGACTTAAGCCAGGCTAGTGAGGGGTAACATATACAATCTTCTACAATTTTGGACAGAATAAACATTAAAAATGGAAAAGAAAGCCCCATCTCCACGAAGTCGCGCGAAAGCCAAAACGCGCCGTTTTCCCATCCTTCATTTTGGAGGATGGGGATCGAAATTTTCCATCCATTTGTGCCAAGATTGTAGTCAGTCTTGTTTAGGCCAGCTAGCGGTTCTAAGATCTCAGCGGCTTATATAACCAACCCCAAAATTCCTAAAGTACCTCCCCAAGGGAAAATCCATGCATAAAACGTGTAAGTGAGAAGTACAGAAGTAGTTTACAAATAAAGCTTGGTACGGATAGGAGTGGTGCAACGAGCAGGTCTGACATCAGGACCATGTCAATACACTGACATCGCCACAGAAATTGTTTACGAGAAGCCTGTCGTTATTCTGCCGTTTATACTATCCCACAACCCTTTTACATTTCAAAATAAATACCAAATAATAAATAAAGTCATTTTAAAGCAGTCTAGTCAGTTACAGGATAACTTCATAAATTGTCTAAATGGTCATGATCAAAGAGTACTCAGACACGATTATTTAAGTTAGTTCACTTTATACTGTTCTTTCGACCAGCTATTTTTAGTTTAGACACCTCTAATTTTGTCAGATAAGCTTAGTCGTCTCCATTAAAGCAATTGTTTCCGGAGTTATATTCGCCATCACGAAAACCACATCTAGGAACAAATCGAGGAAGGCAAGTGACGTCAAGTTGTGGTTGCGCTTTGGTCGCGCATCATTTCGTTCGCGAGCGTGTGAGATCCTGTCATAGCGTTGCAGGAAAATTAAGGCAAAAACATTATAATCAATGACTGAAATGTAGTCACGATCTTTGGTAAGGAGAGTAAAAAAGGCGATCCAAGGACGGAATGAACAAATTGAAACAGAGAGGTCGCTTTCAAACCATATCCAAAGGTGTGCGAATTAATGAAACACCAATTGAAACGTGAAAAAAGAAAGAGAAAGCACGTATCTCTTAAGTGGCTATTTCAAGAAGATCAAACCATGCCTCTAGTGGTCGCTTGTAAGACGTTAAAAACAAACCCCAAAAAGTGGTCGCGGTCGCTTACGCGAGTTAACGTTGGTCGTTTTAGGACTGGTCAAAAAAGAGAAGGCGGTGCTCGGGGAAGGGGTGGGGTAGTCGCTGTGATGACCTATACGGGGAGGCTCCGCCCGAAAGGGGTACCTTTTCCAGGCTTCAGGTATATTAAATGGTGATGAAAATCGTTTTAGAACAACATATCATGCAATCTGAAAAAATGTAAAGAACTTATTTTCAGAAGTAAAGGCAGCAAGTCTCGATATAACCCCGTATTTGACATTTGTCAATGCAGTAGTGTTGTTCTGCTGGAGGCTACGATCCAGAGTGATTGTAAGTTTCAGGGGCATGTTTAACTAAAATCAATTAACGCAAACAAATGTTTCCATGTTCTAAGGACCTTTAGAAAAGAGCAATATTCACAAGCTGAAATAGATCACTTGTTCACTTCCTTAGTTTTGCCAAATTTTATCTATGGTTTACCCGTATATGGGGCTTCTGAACCTGATCTTAAAATTATACAGAACCAGTTAAGATAGATGTCATAAACGCCGTTTTATTTCTTACCCCGTTTCAATTAAGGATCTATTATAGAAGAAAGACTGTAAAATTTTTAAGAAAGTAACTTCCACCCGCTAGCTCCATATATTCCTTCAAAGAAAGTCTTTTCTTATAATCTCCGTAAAAGGAGATAGGATAGGAGTGGTGCAACGAGCAGGTCTGACATCAGGACCATATCAATACACTGACATCGCCACAGAAATTGTTTACGAGAAGCCTGTCGTTATTCTGCCGTTTATACTATCCCACAACCCTTTTACATTTCAAAATAAATACCAAATAATAAATAAAGTCATTTTAAAGCAGTCTAGTCAGTTACAGGATAACTTCATAAATTGTCTAAATGGTCATGATCAAAGAGTACTCAGACACGATTATTTAAGTTAGTTCACTTTATACTGTTCTTTCGACCAGCTATTTTTAGTTTAGACACCTCTAATTTTGTCAGATAAGCTTAGTCGTCTCCATTAAAGCAATTGTTTCCGGAGTTATATTCGCCATCACGAAAACCACATCTAGGAACAAATCGAGGAAGGCAAGTGACGTCAAGTTGTGGTTGCGCTTTGGTCGCGCATCATTTCGTTCGCGAGCGTGTGAGATCCTGTCATAGCGTTGCAGGAAAATTAAGGCAAAAACATTATAATCAATGACTGAAATGTAGTCACGATCTTTGGTAAGGAGAGTAAAAAAGGCGATCCAAGGACGGAATGAACAAATTGAAACAGAGAGGTCGCTTTCAAACCATATCCAAAGGTGTGCGAATTAATGAAACACCAATTGAAACGTGAAAAAAGAAAGAGAAAGCACGTATCTCTTAAGTGGCTATTTCAAGAAGATCAAACCATGCCTCTAGTGGTCGCTTGTAAGACGTTAAAAACAAACCCCAAAAAGTGGTCGCGGTCGCTTACGCGAGTTAACGTTGGTCGTTTTAGGACTGGTCAAAAAAGAGAAGGCGGTGCTCGGGGAAGGGGTGGGTTAGTCGCTGTGATGACCTATACGGGGAGGCTCCGCCCGAAAGGGGTACCTTTTCCAGGCTTCAGGTATATTAAATGGTGATGAAAATCGTTTTAGAACAACATATCATGCAATCCGAAAAAATGTAAAGAACTTATTTTCAGAAGTAAAGGCAGCAAGTCTCGATATAACCCCGTATTTGACATTTGTCAATGCAGTAGTGTTGTTCTGCTGGAGGCTACGATCCAGAGTGATTGTAAGTTTCAGGGGCATGTTTAACTAAAATCAATTAACGCAAACAAATGTTTCCATGTTCTAAGGACCTTTAGAAAAGAGCAATATTCACAAGCTGAAATAGATCACTTGTTCACTTCCTTAGTTTTGCCAAATTTTATCTATGGTTTACCCGTATATGGGGCTTCTGAACCTGATCTTAAAATTATACAGAACCAGTTAAGATAGATGTCATAAACGCCGTTTTATTTCTTACCCCGTTTCAATTAAGGATCTATTATAGAAGAAAGACTGTAAAATTTTTAAGAAAGTAACTTCCACCCGCTAGCTCCATATATTCCTTCAAAGAAAGTCTTTTCTTATAATCTCCGTAAAA